CCACCCTCAGCCACCAGTGGGGAGCCCTGAAAGGAGGACCAAGTTGCGCCTCATCTCTGCACATCAGGACCAAACAGATATATCCAGACCTTGCCCCACCCCCAACTCTGGGGCCCGCCCCCATCTGCCAGTTCGTTTCCAGGGTGCCGCCCCTCTCAGCCAGGTGGCCAAGGTACAGAGTGCTGGCCACCAATGAGCAGCTCTCTTCAAGGGCCCGTGACCAAGTGGGCTGGAACCCTGGAAATCCTCGGATGACTGAGGCGGGGTTAACACAAGAGCCGAAGGGCAGGAGGTCCTATGCTCAGTACTGCTCAGTACTGCTCAGTCCTAGCAGGTTCCCACAAAACATGCCGGTGGGGTTGGCCCCCAGGTGGATTTTACCAAACCCAAAGGGTTCTTCTTTTATAAAGCACACACACCCAGCAAGTCACTCAGGCTTCTCTTGGCAAAGGCCATGTCATTGCTAATCGGGGCCCGGAATGTTTACAGGAAGTTGCCGAATACATATCACTCAGTAAGGCAGATTTAAAGGAATGTTCTCCTACATAGCGGGAGGACAAGAAAGGTTAATAGCCCCCACTCTGAAAACGGTCTGGGGGTGCAGACAAGCGACCTCTTCTCAGAGTGCAAGGTTGAGCATGGTAACCAGCCATACAAGAACGACCCCATCCACCTGGCCAGCATAACCCACCGAGGGTCAATTCCTCCTCAAAGATGGGAAACACAAATTCATCCTGGGTGATTATTAATATGCTCTTTGGTGATGGCCAGGAAATCTTGCCCAGGTCCAGGTAAGTGTCCAGATCCCTTTCCCCCTTGCCGGGAGTTCTCACCTCCTAGTGACCAGGAACCTCTAGCCAGGTCAATCAATAGAAAGTCATAACCAAGCAAGAAACACAGCACTGACACTTTTGTTTCAAATGAAGACATCAACCATGCCAAAATGGTTTGCCTTTCTAAAGCATAAACTCTCTTGAAAAGACTTTAAAGAAAAGCAAGAAAGTATTTCACCAACATCAGTAAAGCAGGACAAGCTGACAGGTTTTCCTGCACGTCTCTTCCAGGTAGTGTTCAAAGTCAGGATAATACTTAAAAGATCTGAACACTTAACACCAAGAAAAATCATATTGGTGTTTAAAAGACTGATTAAGAAAGTGAATAGAAATACAATTTGCAAATGTCATTTTAATGTTAAACTTTTGTATTATTCATCAGGCATTCTTTTACTCAACTTAGGTAGCTAATGTAGTAGCTAATTTTTATTCAGATATCAAAATTTATGTCACACAGGAATATTTTTAAGCATTTCCAACTGCTTTTTAAAACTATAAGAATGGTGAATAATATTTTCATTTCAGAATATTTTCCACCATATTGTAACGAACAAGGAGCTCAGTGTTGGCCAGGCACAGTGGCTCACACCTGTAATCCCAGCGCTTCGGGAGGCTGAGGCAAGAGGATTGCTTGAGGCCAGGAATTTGAGTCCAGCCTGGGCAACATAGTGAGACCCTGTCTCTACAAACACACACACACACACACACACACACACTTAAAAATTTATAAAAATAAGCTCACTGTGCAGTTTTAAACCAAAGCAGGAATTCAATTAAAAATTCAGTTTGAATTGTACATCTATCTAAATAAAGTGGGAAAAAAAATTCCTAACTGCAGGCAACAGTCTCCCCCAGACACATCCTCCCACAGCTAACGTTTAACACTTCAACTCTTCCAGGCCCAGAATCTTCCCAGGACTGACTTTGTGCTTATTTGTGCCAAAATGTGTTAAATTAGACAAGAAGGAGAAGCATAAAATTCAATTCATAATCCAAGACAAGAATCTGAGCTTTGGTTTGAAAAATGAAAAGCTCTGGAATGACATAACATACTCCAACCCTTCAAACAATCAAGATATTTAACTCCAAAGACAGATCTCAAATAAGAGACAGCCCAAGTTCAGACTGCCCACAGGGCACCAGCTCCCAGAAAATGCCATGCCATGGCCGGAGACAGATCTGAGTTGGAGATACGCCTCAAGTCCAGAGCTCTGGAGCTAGTACCAGACAGCATGCGGGTAGAAGACAACGAGAAAAAGGAGAGGTCCAAACGAATCCTGTTCCCTCCCTTCTCCAGAGGCACACAGCTCTGGGCTGACTCCTGGGATCAGCTGATTCACTGGCGGTGCCCTCTCAGTGCCTGCCCCCTGCCTGGAAAGCCAGCTGTCTGCTGAAGACGAAAAGTTAGAAACACAATTCCTAATTCTTGGGACAACCTCTAGTATCATGTTCTACCTTTAAAGTGTCTTCCCTAAACGAAAACAGACAAGGCCATTCTGAAATTACTCAGCTACTTATGAAACAGAGTCTACAATTATTTTTCCTTCCTTTTCAACACAATTAGGAGGGTGTCCCCCCCAAATGCGGCCTCTTCCACAGCCACGTCCGGAGGGGCATCCCCTAGTGTCCCAGCAAGTGCTTTCAGCGACACCAGAATGTTACTTTAAGACCTGAGACACCTTTCTCCAGCTGCCTCCCGCCTTGTGTCACAGAAAATAATGCTGCTGCACGCTCTCAAAACGCCGTTTTACAAGCCGACTTGGTTTTCCGTAACTGGTGAGGAAAAGTCACTGGAACCAAACGCCACTCATACAGCTATCCAGAGGCCACCGCCCTCCCCCGGCAGAGGCGCATGGGGGCAGCAGGCAGGACCGAGAGGGGCTCGGAGGCGCCGCAGGAGGAGAGGCTGGGCGCAGACGGCTCGGCCCCAAACCACACCCAGCGCTAGGAAGCGCAAGGCTCCGGACGAACCCTTAAGAAGTCGCTGCTAGGGGCAGAGAGGTTGGGAGAAGGGAGTGCCGCCACAGGAACCCTGAATCCCCTCCCGGTCAGGCTAAGGCCGAGCATGTACCGTAAGCCCTCAACCCAACACTCCTGCAACGACAAATAGAATTCCCCGACCTCAAAGGCGTGAAGCACGCGCCCTTCTGGGCCCTGAGTTCGCCCTCGAACCTCCGTGCCGATCTTCCAAACCCACCTCCCGCCTTCCTGGAATGGGCGCACGCGAGGCACGGATTTCAGGAAATCTCCGCCGTGACAGCTCACCCACGGTGGAGGCGGCGGTCTGGGACGCTGGACGGAGAAAGGTGGCCAGCGGAGGGAGGAGGGGTGGGTCGGCAACGCAGTGGCCTTGGATATCCGAGCTGCCCGGACGCAGCGCTGGCCCCACTCCCGCCCTTGGTCGCCGCGGTGACCCCACCCGAGCCGTGCCCTCCCAAGATCTCAGGGCCAGGGCCTCCCCGCTGCGCCGGCCCCAGGGTGCCACCCTCGGACGCCCAGATGCGCCCTGGACCCTGCGCCGGGATCCCGAGCACCGCCGCGCCTCTACCCCGCGCCGAGCGCGCCCGGCCCTGCTCCGGCTGCAGCGGACACGAGCCCCAAGCGGGCGGCGGGGACGCAGCGCCTGCAGTGCGACTGGCGCAGCCGCCGAGGCACGGAGAGCGCCGCCCGGACCCCGACCCCATGGCGCTAGGAGGGCCGCGGGCGCGGGCTGTGGAGCCGCACCTCCAGCCCCGCCAAGGCTGCTGGCCACCGGCGCGCTCGTCCCAAGGGCCGGGCGGAGGACCTGTCCCGGATTCCAGAGGACGCGGGTGGGGAAGGGACAAGGATGGGGACAAGGGAGGGGACGCCAACTGGGCCGAGGTGTGGGTCAGTCCTGGTTCGGGAAGGGAGGCCGCCATCAGGATCCTCTCTGGACTCGGAAGGACGGGTCTGCCCTGGACCCAGGGATTGGGAAATGTGGCTTCTCTCAGAACACGGGGAAGTGGGGAGAGGGTCTGTTCTGGAGTGCGGAGGGAGGTCCATTCCCGGCCCAGGACAATGGGGGTGGGGGCAGGAGGGGAATGAGGGAGCATCCCTGGTTCAGGGAGGGGAGACGGATAAGTAGTAGGGGGTCTGCTCCAGGCCCGCGGGCTGGGGACCACGAAGTGTAGGAGGGCACCGTCCAGGACCGGGATGAGGAGGGAGAGGGGCCCGTTGTGGCCCTGGAAAAAGGGAGAGGGAAAGTGCTCCCCGGCCCGAGAGGAGGAGCAGGAGGGTCAGTCCTGGACCTGGGCTTAGGAAGCGAGGAGGGACGTTCGGACCCGCCCCAGGGACAGGGCGATGAAGGTCTGTCCAAGTCGCGGAGTGGAGGGAAGTATGTCGGCGGTGGGGGAAGAGGCCGGCCACGGACAGGAAAAGGGGGTCCGTCTCGTAGGGGGGACGGGCGGTCCTGGGGAAGGGAGAGGCCTCGGCGCGGGGGGCATCCGGCCCGAGCGGGGCCGCTCACCTTGGGTTTGTAGAGCCACTTTCGGAACCTGTTCATCATCGCCGCGCCGGCCCTGGCCGGACTCCGGGCGGCCCTCGCCCTCCGCAGCGCTGCGCCCGGGCCCGGCTGCGGCGCGGGGCGGACGCGGAGGCACGGCTGGAGCCCCCGCGCGGTCGCGGGGAAGCTGGCGAGCTGAGCCCGGAGCGCCGAGCGGGCGGCGGGCAGGTGCGCTGGGCAGGCGCGCGGGGCAGGTGCGCGGCCCTGAGGATGCTCTGCAAGCGGCGCGCCGGGCGGACCCTCAGACCCGGGAGCTGGCGCTCTGGCGCTCGGGCGCACGGACAGACGCGGGCACGGGGGCGCGCGGCTCCTCGCTGCTCACTGACACCCCGCACTCCGCTGGTCACGGCCGCCCCGCGCCGCACATGCGCCTATGGCGCCGCGAGCCCCGGGCCCACCACGAGCGGCGGGCGGGGCGGGCGGGACGGGCGGGGCGGAGGCGGCCCAATCCCCGCGCGCGGGCGCCGCACCCCGCCGAGGCGCGCTCTCTGCTGGCTGGGAGACTCGCCGCGCCCGGGGATCCAAGAAACTACAAGTCCCGAAGGACATGGCGGGAAGGCGGTGCCCAGGACTTGGCGCCCCGGCCGCGCCGCGGCGCTGTGCATTGTGGGGGTTGTGGTCCACCCGACGTCGCTGGAGCGTGCAGCCGGTTGCCAGGCGACGACGCCAAACAGCCGCCGCGTCCTGCCTACCAGGAGCTGACGGACCGCGACTGCCAACCCCTTCGCCCCAGCTGGTCGAGGAAACTGCTGCGGCGGCAGGTGGCGGCGGCAGGTGGCGACAGCAGAAGGGCTCGGCTGCCCGGAGGGCCCGCCAGGTACTGGGGCGGGACAGGTGCGGGGCTACGCGCCGCCGACTTTCATGACCGGCCGGCCGGTCCCTCTCACTCGCTGCTCATCTTGCTTCTCCCAAACACCTTTTCGGTCTTCTTCCCAGCTCCTCGATGAAAGTGAACGGTGCCTCTTTTTTTTCTTTCTTTTTTTTTTTTTTTAAATCACCACTACCAGCGGTGCGTTCTAAAAAGATACTCTCCCGCCCTCGCTACTCCCCCCAATGGTGCCCTAATTTGTACCTTAAAACGCTCACCTCAGACTACCTGCTGTGTGTCAAGCAGAGAGCTAAAAACCCACACGTGGCCTCACTTAAACTTCCCATTGACGGCCGGAGAAGCAGGCACAACGAGGCCGGCGTGCCCTGGCTGTGGGGGTTGCATCCAGATCACGGCGGGTCTGGGTCGGCCTGACCCCACAGCGCTGCACTTTTCCCTGCCGCACCAGCACCACGTTTCTGGCTTGTGGTGAAACGTGCAGATGTGAGACACAGGAGATGGAAATCATGCCCTGCTCGGTTCAGAATTTAGAAGTATGACCTGTTCCTGGTTGTCCTTACTAGCCAGGGCCAGGTACTCAGAAAGGTCCGTGGACTCCATGACCACTTTATTCCATCATACTCATTGTGAGCCTAGGTGCGCTGGCATCTGAGATTTCTCTTAGTTGGGGGTGGGGTCCATGTTCATTTTTGAGTAACTAATTGACTTTCCCTAACCTCCTCTTCCTACCACAGTCGACCCTCTGAAGGGTAAAACCCTTCTGGAGTTGTCCCTTATCTCCAATTCCTTCCCACCTGTTCTTTCTGGAACCTACTCCAGTCACATTTTCACCTAACCACTCCTCTGAAGCTCTTTATCAAAGTCATCCTTGACCTTGATGTTGCAAAATCCGATGATCAGGGGTCAGCGCTCATCTCTTCCTTGAACTGTCACCACCAGGTGACCCAGCCGACTGTGCCTTCTCCGTAACACACCATCCTGGCTTGGCTGGAACAGATCACTCTGTCCACTTTTCCTCCTTGCTCCTGGCCACACCTGCTTGATCTCCTTGGCTGGTTGCCTACCTTGCTCACCGACCTCTCAACACTGGAGACCCTGGACTCAGTCCTTGGAAGCTACTCTATCCACTTCCTCCCTGGGGATTTCCTGCAGTCAGGTGGTTTTATAAACAACCATTTTCTCCCAAACTTCTCAAAACCTGCATCTCTAGCCTCAACCCTGAAACTCCTGTTTACCTGTTCTTCACCATTTGGACGCCTAACAGATCCTCTTCAATTTAATGTGTCCCAAACTGCACTCTCAATCTTCCCCCATAAAACCTGCTGCTCCCAAAGCCATAATTTCTTCAGCACAGGATCTTGGGGTAGACACTTGATGGGCTTGTCCACTGAGTGAATGGCTATTCTCTTTGGGTCTATCCTTGGCCAACTCCAGGTCCTGGAGCAGTTTTATCTGCTCAGAGCTTCCCTTCCTTTGTTTTATAGTTTGAAATTGTGCATGGGATGAAGGCTGAACTTGGGGAATTGGGGTATCAGTTAGGTTTAGCTGCATGTATTGAAAAATCCCAGCATCATAGTGGCCTCAACAAGAATATTACTCATACTTTTATAAAAGAGGTTGCCGGGCACGGTGGCTCACGCCTGTAATCCCAGCACTTTGGGAGGCTGAGGCGGGCAGATCACGAGGTCAGGAGATCGAGACCATCCTGGCTAACACAGTGAAACCCCGTCTCTACTAAATATACAAAAATTAGCCGAGCATGGTGGCGGGCACCTGTAGTCCCAGCTACACGGGAGGCTGAGGCAGGAGAATGGCGTGAGCCCGGGAGGCGGAGCTTGCAGTGAGTGGAGATCGCGCCACTGCACTCCAGCCTGGGCGACAGAGCGAGACTCCATCTCAAAAAAAAAAAAAAAAAAAGAGGTCATGGAGAGGCAATCATGGTTGGTATGGCAGCCCCAAAGTCCTCAAGGATCAACTTTTCTTTTTTTTTTTTTTTTTTTTTTTTTTGAGACGGAGTCTCGCTCTGTCGCCCAGGCTGGAGTGCAGTGGCCGGATCTCAGCTCACTGCAAGCTCCGCCTCCCGGGTTCACGCCATTCTCCTGCCTCAGCCTCCCGAGTAGCTGGGACTACAGGCGCCCACCACCTCGCCCGGCTAGTTTTTTGTATTTTTTTAGTAGAGACGGGGTTTCACCGTGTTAGCCAGGATGGTCTCGATCTCCCGACCTCGTGATCCGCCCGTCTCGGCCTCCCAAAGTGCTGGGATTACAGGCTTGAGCCACCGCGCCCGGCCAAGGATCAACTTTTCTAGCTGCCATTCACATTTCTTCATGATCCAGGATGGCTGCCCACATTCCTGCCATCACCTCCTCAGCCCAGGTACCAGCTGCAAAAGAGAAGATGGATATGCCCCTCTCGTTCAGGGAGACTTTCCAGAAGTCTCACACCTTTCCACTTCTTGAAGGTGATGGGAGAACGTAGCCACAAGACCATGCCCCAGCTACCAGGGAGGCTAGGAAATGCCATCTTTCAGTTGGGCAGCAGTAGACCCAGCTAAAAGTCAGAGTTTTCTTATTTGGGAGGAAAGGGGGAGTGGAGATTGAAAAGCAACTAGCAAAACCTGCCACGTGGGATTGTGCTTTAAGCAGAAGCCATGGGGGCTGACTTGGCAGCAACCCTTAGGAGACTGGCTTCAATCAGGAGAAAAGATTATATTTTAATTAACATACATTTGAGATCTTAGGTAAATGAGTTATCTCCTAGTGGTTGAGAGTGTCGAGCTGTTTTGTGTCTGATGGAATTTAAACCTCCTCATATAATCTCATTTGTGTCTATAAAATATTTCCTAAGAAGGCCGGGCGCGGTGGCTCAAGCCTGTAATCCCAGCACTTTGGGAGGCCGAGATGGGCGGATCACGAGGTCAGGAGATCAAGACCATCCTGGCTAACACCGTGAAACCCCGTCTCTACTAAAAAATACAAAAAATTGGCCGGGCGAGGTGGCGGGCGCCTGTAGTCGCAGCTACTCGGGAGGCTGAGGCAGGAGAATGGCGTGAACCCGGGAGGCAGAGCTTGCAGTGAGCTGAGATCCGACCACTGCACTCTAGCCTGGGCGACAGAGCAAGACTCTGTCTCAAAAAAAAAAAAAAAAAAAAATTTCCTAAGAAAAGAGAAGCTTCAGCCCACCCTTTTTTTAAGATAGTCTTGCCCTGTCACCCAGGCTGGAGTGCAGTGGCATGATCTCGACTCACTGCAACCTCTGCCTCCCAGGTTCAAGCACTTCTCTGCCTCAGCCTCCTGAGTAGTTAGGATTACAGGCACCCGCCACCGTGCCCAGCTAATTTTTGTATTTTTAGCAGAGGCGGGGTTTCACCATGTTGGCTGGTCTGGAACTCCTGATCTCAAGTGATCTGCCCACCTTGGCTTCCCAAAGTGCTGGGATTATAGGCGTGAACCACCGTGCCTGGCCTAGTCCAGCCCACCTTTAAAGTTGCCTTAAATATAAGATAGTCAAGTCCTGATCAATGGAGTTAAAAATCAATATGAGAAAAAAGTCATTAAGCTTGGAAATTAAATCCCACTTCCCACATAGATGGTACTTCACTATTAAAGCTGAACTTTGGAAGACTCAGGTGGGAGGATCGCTTGAGGCCAGGAGTTCAAGACCAGCCTGGGCAACATAGTAAGACCCCTGTCTCTACAAAAAAAAAAAAAATTAAGTACAAAATTAGTTGGGCGTGGTAGTGCACGCCTGTAGTCCCAGCTACTTAGGAGGCTGAGGCAGAAGGATCACTTGAGCTGTAGTGAACTATCATTGAGCCACTGCCCTCCAGCCTGGGTGACAGAGTAAGACCCTAAATCAGGAACAAAATAAAATCAGGCTGAGAGTTTGAGAATGAGTGAACACATGAATATAGCTGAGATGCTGAAAGCAGGCGTCAGAAGTGGATGAATTTTAATACCTATTTCCTCCCCAAAGATGTGATTGTTTTGATGAAGTTCTTAGGCTAATTTCAGTGGGATTCAGAAGTCAAGCATCTCTTTTCCTTACATCCACCTTCACGTACACCTGCTCTGGGCCAGATTCAGGGTGCAGAGGCCCCGCCCCAGCGACCTTCAGGCCCGACAGTGAACCAGGGTTCCAGGGGCAGGGCAGGACAATTTGAGTCAGGCTGGACTCCAAAGGGGCTCCTCTCCCCTGCATCCCCATCTTCAACTTGGTTTGTCCATTTTTTCCTTCCAGTTCATTCCTACCAGGTCTGCCCTGGATTGGGGGGACGGGCTTGGCATGGCCCTCTTGCTCTCCTCGACTTGCATCACCAAAGGATGCCTAGGATCATCCTTTCTCCAGAATGCTCCAGCTCCAGGACAGGGGGAGACGGCAGGGAAACTCTTCCACCCTGGGAGCAGCTGCCACCACACTCGCGCAGACCACCCACTCTCACCGCCCGCACCAGGCGCAGGAAAAGACCCTTTCCTGGGTGTATACCCAGTTCCTCCAGACAGAGCTGTGTCCAGAGCACATTAGAAAAGGCTGGGGCAGGCCGGGCGCGGTGGCTCAAGCCTGTAATCCCAGCACTTTGGGAGGCCGAGACGGGCGGATCACGAGGTCGGGAGATCGAGACCATCCTGGCTAACACGGTGAAACCCCGTCTCTACTAAAAAAATACAAAAAACTAGCCGGGCGAGGTGGCGGGCGCCTGTAGTCGCAGCTACTCGGGAGGCTGAGGCAGGAGAATGGCGTGAACCTGGGAGGCGGAGCTTGCAGTGAGCTGAGATCCGGCCACTGCACTCCAGCCTGGGCGACAGAGCGAGACTCCGTCTCAAAAAAAAAAAAAAAAAGAAAAGGCTGGGGCAAGGGGACCCCATCCCAGGGCAACCTGACCCGCAACGTGAGGTGGAGGCAGGGCAAGAAAACTCATTCTTTAACATTGTTTCTCTAAAAGTAGACTTTTACATTTATTTATTTATTTATTTATTTATTTATTTAACAGGATCTCAGTGTGTCACCCAAGCTAGAGTGTGGTAGCACAGACGTAGCCCAAAGTACCTTCGACCTCCTGGGCTCAAGGGATCCTCCCACCTCAGCCTCCCGAGGAGCTAGGACTACAGGCGCACCACCATACCTGAGTCATTCTTTAATTTTTTTTGTAGAGAAGTCCCCAGTTACGCTGTGGAGTTTTAAAAAGCGCCTCAATGTGGCTGACCTTGGCAAAGATGGGGAGTGGGATTTGTGAGCTGTGAGCTCACTGCCTACGGGGAGCCCCCACTGCTCTCTGCAATGCCTGGAGTGAAAGCCACAGGTCCCCCAGCCCCAGTGAGCAATGCCCCAGAAAAGTGCTTCCTGCCGCCAGCAGCCTATTGCCCCCTGGCTGTGTTATGGCTGCCTAAATCCACCTACCCACCAGGGTTGGCCATCACGCCCACACTGCACCTCACGGCACCACACCCCTGCCATACTGGTGGCCTGGCCTGCTGGGACCCTCCCGAGGAGAGGAGCTGAATTCAGAGAGAGCAGGGACTTAGGGGAGCCTGTCACAAGCTTAAGGCCCCACCTGAGTGTTCCTGCCGTGGCAGGCTCGAGGGAGGGTGCTCACTGGGCCTCCTGGGCCTTTCTGCTCACAGCTGCTGAAGTTCTCACCCCAGAGGCTCAGCTAGAGGGGATCAGAGGAGAGTGAAGGGACACTGAGGCTGCGGTGGGGTGTGGGTGGTCTCTCTTCCATGGCCCAGCCTTCCAAGAAGCAAAGGTTTCCTGCAGGGTGGGCTGAGGCAGCTTAGGTGGCAGGTCCCCAGGGGCAGGCCATGGAGGGGGTGGGAGACCTCAGAGGGTCTGGGCAGCTTCACCCACAAACCTCTCTCATCTTGCCCAGGCAAGCCTGGCTGCAGCATCTACAGCTCAGCATCTGTGGATTTGCAGGTTTAATGGCTTCTGATCTGGTGTCCTCCAAGCCAGCAGCATCACCGTCTCTTCCTTTGCCCTGAATCATCAGGACCGCACTGGCAGAGGAACGCGTAGCCAGGCAGCCTTGCTGGTCTCCAGACACGGGGTGGGGGAAGGTGACCCAGCCAGGGCCCAGGGCAGGCTCCCAGGCAGTGACGGTCCTGGCCGTGCCAGAGGCTCATGCTCACTTTGTTCTGGGAGGCCTGGTCTCCAGGGCCTGTTCTTGGCATCAGGGCTTCAAGCCAGATTTCCAAATTCCAAGCGACCTTTCTTCTGGCCTCCTTAGAGAGAGGCTCCTGCTGGCCTCTGTGTCCATGCACAGCCAGACTGGTCCCTACAGCAGCCCCTAAAAGGACAGCCCAGCCAGGCGCGATGGCTCACGCCTGTAATCCCAGCACCTTGGGAGGCTGAGGCGGGCAGATCACCTAAGGTCAGGAGTTCAAGACCAGCCTGGCCAATATGGTGAAATCCCATCTCAACTAAAAAATACAAAAATTAGGCCGGGCGCGGTGGCTCAAGCCTGTAATCCCAGCACTTTGGGAGGCCGAGACAGGCGGATCACGAGGTCAGGAGATGGAGACCATCCTGGCTAACACGGTAAAACCCCATCTCTACTAAAAAAATACAAAAAACTAGCCGGGCGAGGTGGCGGGCGCCTGTAAGTCCCAGCTACTTGGGAGGCTGAGGCAGGAGAATGGCGTGAACCCGGGAGGCGGAGCTTGCAGTGAGCTGAGATCCGGCCACTGCACTCCAGCCGGGCGAAAGAACAAGACTCCGTCTCAAAAAAAAAAAAATACAAAATACAAAAATTAGCCCGGCATGGTGGTGGGCGCCTGTAATCCCAGCTACTCAGGAGACTGAGGCAGGAGAGTCGCTTGAACCTGGGAGATGGAGATTGCAGTGAGCCGAGAGCGTGCCATTGCACTTCAGCCTGGACAACAAGAGCAAAATCTATCTCAAAAAAAAAAAAAAAAAAAAAAAAAAAAAAACAGCCCATGTCAGGCCTCAGGTGGTGCAGCCAGCAGGGAGGTGGAGACATAGGCCCTGGGCTGATGCCATCCCTGGCCAGGGCCAGCGTCACAGCTTCTTTCCCTAACTGTGTGATTAAACCCACTCGCAGAGCATGCCAGGTGCTCCTCCTGGAGACACCCCTGGGAGCCCCTTCCCTCCTTCTCTGTCCTTGTCCTGCCAGCCAGTGTCACCCTGGGGCTACCTGCATTGCAGCCTGGAAATTCCCCATGACGACAGTCTCTTGGGTTCAGCCCCTGCTTCCCAGGGCACCCCCAGCCGAGATTCCTCTGCATCCCTGACTCTTCCTCCACTGAACGTGTTCAGGGCATCCCCGGCTCTGAAATATCACGACCCATTCCCTGTGCTGAGCTGCCAGGGGCGCCCTGTCCGCCCAGAAGACCACTTCCTTCAGTTCTAGGGCATTTCTCTCTTATCTTTCTGGAACTCCTGTTAATCGGGGTTTGGACCTTCAGTAATAGTTCCCTAGTTTTCCTAGTGTTTTCCCCTACTTTCTACAGCTTCATCTTTTTCTACTCAGGGAGATTTCCTCAACTTTACCTTTCGTCTCCTGTTTATGTTTTTAGTTCTGCCATCATATTTTGGTTTCCACAAGCCCTCTCTTTCTCCAACCATTGCTTGTTCCTTGGACGCTGTATCTCCTCTTCTCTTGCATGGCAGTGCCTGGTTTCTAGGCTTTTTCCTGCCTTGTGCATCGTTTTCTCCTGGTTCTTTTCTTATGGTTTCTATGTTTCATGTCAGAGGATTCTCTAAAGTGTCTGGTGACACCTGGCCTCCCCTTCTCTCTGCGTCTTGGCCAGGAAGAGAGGCAGGGGTCAGATCAACATGACCCTTTAGCACAGCCAGGGTCAGCATCTCACCGAGGACCCTCCAGTGTCAGTGGTGGTTGGGGGAATCGTTTGTATTTTTTTAATCAGTCTCCAGCCTGGAGGGTCTAGGTCTGGGGACTGCTACCTGGGGCTGTTCTAGCCTGTTGCAGGGTAGAGGAGAGGTACTCCCACTGTCCCCAACTTTGATGGCCCTTCAAGCCCAGCCTGGCCCAGAGCAGCTGGTCACTCATGGAGCAAGAGGAGGGTGAGAAGGGCCCCCCTCTGCCCAGTGCTGCCCTACTGTCCTGCATAGTCCAGCCAGAGCCCAGGCCTGCACCGCACCCAAGGATGACGGCCTTTGCTGACAGGCCCCGCCTTCTCTGAGGATAGTTTGGGGGCCACATGTTGTCCTTAGAGCTGGTTCACACAGGGTGCCAACCTCACCCTAGGCAGCTTCTCCAAGGTCCCCTGGGAGGGGCTCTGGGCGAGTCTGTCCCCTGGAACTGCTGTGCCTCTCGAGTGTTCGGCGCCCCTGCGAGCCCTCCCCAGGGCCCTGTTCCCCCGTCGTCAGGATGGCGGTGTTGACCCCAGGGACCCCAGGCTCCTTCTTGCCTCAACCATGTGTGATGAGGTCACCCTCACCCAGGACCTTCTGCTCCCCAGCAGGGTCTGACGAAGAAACCGTCACCTTCCCGGGCAAAGCTGAGGGATGCTAAGAGGCTGGCTTGAGAGGTGCCTCTGTTCTCTGCCATGGGCCCCTTGCAGGGGTGGGTCACCCCATCCAGGAGGCATGGCTGTGGGGCCTGAGGGGCACTCAGCTGGCTTGGGGTTGTGGTGATGGGGGGCCTGAGGGTGAACTCACCCTGGCCAGCCTGGGCTCCTGAGCCACAGAGGCCTGCAGGAGACAGTACAGGACATGAACCTTGGGGTACCTGCCAGGGCCCTCACTCACATCCGGCACTCCCCACTGCTGCAGGTCCAGCACCCTAGCCAGGGCCCCCAGTCACATCCAGCCTCCCCGCTGCTACAGGCCCAGCACCCTGGCAGACTCCTGTTGCTGCTGGGGAGGATCCTGTCGCCACATCCCAGGTCTGGAGGGTATGACCTGCACCGTTTGTTCTTAGGATCTTGCCCTGAGAAGATGGCCTACTATGGAAAATGCATTGAAACTGTCATCGAGAAACTCGACAAATTTACACCCAAGAGGGACAACCCTGAGCAGTTCCTAGAGGCTGTGGCCCTCTCCCTGCAGGTAGGGTCTGCGGGGGCTCCTGGGAGGCTGGTCTGCGGGGGGGCTCCTGGGAGGCTGGTCTGCGGGGGGCTCCTGGGAGGCTGGTCTGCGGGGGGCTCCTGGGAGGCTGGTCTGCGGGGGGCTCCTGGGAGGCTGCACCAATGGCACCTGTCATGCAGCTGTTCTCGTTAACAGCATCAAATGCCTTCCTAGCGACTGCCTTCCTTCCAAACGGGGAGAAGCTGACAGTGTTTTCCACAGACACCTGCTCTTTGTATAGGGAGGTGCTCCTGGCACCCAGAATGTGTGTCAGGCCAGGCTCTGGTGAAAAAAAGCCTTGGCCAGAACCCGGGATATGACATCCACGCTGAGGTTCCATCCTCAGTTAACACAGACGAGAAGGGTCAGCCCTGGAGTGCCCCCATGCCCCACCCCCACTTTGGAGGGCATCTTATCACGGGAAATGGGTCCTCCATCCCCCAGGGGCCCCAGGGCTGTGGCAGTGAGGGTGGGTGAGGTCACAGCTTGCGCTGTATTTGTGGTAACCGAGACTTGGGAATCACTGACCGGGTCTCCGACAGAGGCAGGGGCTGGCCTGGGCAGTGAGGCCCCTGGGGAACCGAAGGCTGCAGGCATCCATACACATCTCCTTCATCTTCCTACCCACACCTGGAAGAAGTCACAGGCCCACCTGGAGGCTGCCCAACTCTTCAGCTCCTGTCCTCCTGTCCCTGGGTTTTCCTTAGAGCTCCATCCTGGTCCTGGCAACCCCTGCAACCTTGGCAGCCCCACCCCACTCAGGGGCCTCCCTGTCACCCAGTCTTGGCTCCCACCCCCAGGTGCTGATCTCACATCTGCCACCTGTCAGTGGCAGGTGCCCAGGGAACAGGAGCTTAGATTGCAGGGCCCCTGCCTCCAGGAATGTGGGACGTGGCTCCATTGGATGGGGCCTCCAGAGGAAGCTGAGCCCACCGGGGGAAATCCTGGGGGGCTGTCTCATGGGCCATCCCGGCCCATCATTGCCCAGGAGCAGAGAGAGGGCACTCGCCCCCTGGAAGGAGGGTGCTCATAGCAAGTGTGCTAATTCAGGCCGCCTGCCTGTCCTTGCAGGCCACAGCCCTCTGTGCTGCCGTGCTCTGGATGAACTTGGCCTGTGTATGCTGCTTTCTGCGTGGTCCCTGGGGGCTGCCCTGGCCATGCTCCAGCCCCAGCCCTCACTACCTGCTCAGACGCACCTGTGCTGCTCCCCTAGGCCACAGTCTGAGCCCACCTTCCCTTGGGGTAGAGTGAGGGATTCATCCTTCATTAGTTACCCCTGGGGCAGCCTCAAGAAAGCCCAGAGGGGAGGTGTTATGAGTAGGTTACAAAGGCTGCAGGGGTTGGGGCCAAGGCCTCTGCCATAAGAGAAGGCCTGGGGCCCTGACACATCCCTGCTCCCAGCTTCTGGAAGAGGCGCCTCCTCCGGCTGGGGCCTGGCAGCAGCAAGGAGTGGAGAAGGGAGCAGGGCCTGTGTGCAGAGCTACAGGCTTCCATGGGCACCTCCTTCCCTCTGCTTCAGCACCCTCCGGCCCCCAGCTCTTTCCCTGAGCCCCTAAGCACCGCGGGGAAGTGACGCAGACAGCTGGGGCCCAGATTCATCTACACTCCTCTTCCCACCTGAAGGCCCCAGCACCACGGGCACACCTCTCGTCCCACCAGCCAGCCCTCCCTACACCCGTCCACAACAGACAATAGTGAAGGCCCAGGTCCCCTTGGCCAGAAACCTGTCCTGGGAGCTGGCATCACCCACCCCACTGCCTGGGCCCACCTGCAGCCCAGCCCCTCTGTCCCGTCCAAGAGCAGCTCCAGCAGCTCCTCCTGTCTGTCCCCTCATTTCCCTCGGGATCTTTCCTGTCAGCCACCCGTGCTGCTACTTCTCTCATCCTAAAAACATTTGTTTAAAGTCCTCTGGGCCAGGCGCGGTGGCTCACTCCTGTAATCCTAGCACTTTGGGAGGCCGAGGCGGGCGGATCATGAGGTCAGGAGATCCAGACCATCCTGGCTAACACAGTGAAACCCGTCTCTACCAAAAACACAAAAAATTAGCCGGGCGTGGTGGCGGGCGCCTGTAGTCCCAGCTACTTGGGAGGCAGGAGAATGGCGTGGACCCGGGAGGCGGAGCTTGCAGTGAGTCGAGATCGTCCCACCGCACTCCCGGCCCCACTGCACTCCAGCCTGGGTGACAGAGCGAGACTCCGTCTCAAAAAAAAATGAAAAATAAAAGTAAAGCCCTCTGTACTCCTCTGCGGCTCCCGCGGTCCCCGCCTTCCAGACATCTAACAGACTCCTTGAAGTCCCTGCCAGGAGCGGCAGCTCTTCCTCCATCCTCCCTCACGCCCCTCCTGGCAGACTTCCCCAGCCCTCCACCCACGGCCGGTCTAAGTCGCCCCCCTCCTCCTCGTTGCCAAATCCAGTGGTGCAGCCTCAGCGCCTCTGACCCAGCTGACCCCGCCCCCAGCTCCGGGGCCTTCCAATCAGCTTCCTGGGTACACCCCCCCCCACCCGCCAGGCCTGCCTCTCACCCGGCAGCCACTGCTTCGCGGGCTCCGGCCTCCCCTGTCGGGTGTGCGGGGTGCTGCACACACTCCTGGTCCCCTCACCTGCTGACAGCTCCTGCTCCTCCCTCATCCTTGACCTCTGCAGAGCCTGGACTCACATCTCCCTGGGTGTACGACGGGCACCTCCCGTGTGACCCGTCAGCAGGTGAATGAATTCATGTGACCTCCCCCGAGGCTGCTGATTCCGGTATCCCCAGTTCAGCCGGAGGCCACTCCGTCTCCCCTTGCTTGAGTGGGACCCCTGGCGCCTCCTGGGCGCCCTCATTCCTCTAGCCCACATCTGTCCATCATCAGCTCTGCCTTCAACTCTGCCGCATGTGCACTCTGCTCCAGCGGCACTGGTCTCCTAGTGTTTCTGGAACATTCCACGTGTTCCCCGCTGCACTAGCTGTTGCCTCCACCTGAGAAACTTTTCCCCTGACGCGCTCTTGGCCTGCGCAGCCACACAGCACCTTGGCAGGGAAAGGGAGTGTGTTTACCCCTTCCTCAAGCAAAAAGTGGCAAAGTTCATGTCTTTATTTCTTGATACTAACCATTACAGAAAAATGAGTTTGTTACAACAAATAGTTTGGATTTGGGTTTGTTTTCTATAACCCACAGATTATTAATGGTAGATGAGACTAGTTGCTACCTGGCAAGTCACAACGTGACGACCACAGGTGTGCGTTTCCACAGGGAGCCTGGCACACCGATAATACTAGCAAACTGGCAGAGGCAGACACAACGGATCATCCAGAGGGCTGCGCAGCACGGGCACAGATGCTCCCATTGGTAGCAAGGAGGCTTGTTCCTCAGAGGCACTGGTTTTTCAGATCCTTTCTTTTTTTTTTTTTTTTTTTTTATTTTTGAGACGGAGTCTCCCTCTGTCGCCCAGGCTGGAGTGCAGTGGCATGATGTCAGCTCACTGCAAGCTCCGCCTCCCAGGTTCTCGCCATTCTCCTGTCTCAGCCTCCCGAGTAGCTGGGACTACAGGCGACCGCCACCATGCCCAGCTAATTTTTTGTATTTTTAGTAGAGATGGGGTTTCACCGTGTTAGCCAGGATGGTCTCAATCTCCTGACCTTGTGATCCGCCCGCCTTGGCCTCCCAAAGTGCTGGGATTACAGGCGTGAGACACTGCGCCCAGCCTTTTCAGATCCTTTGAAAAGCCCCTCACAAGCCTGAGTGGAATGGTGCGTTAGATCCTGATCCAGTTTGGACAACTCGTTTTCCTCTCCAGCTGTCAATAAATTGTTGCAACTCACTGATTTTGCTAGGCCAAGGCTCAAGACTGCCACTTGCCAGAAAATTACACAATACATAAACCAAATGGCAGACTCTGGACAGCAGAGTGCGGTGAAAGGCAGTGTTTTGGGTTAAATTGTGCCCCCCCCCAAAAAAAAAATACTAAGCCAGGCATGGTGGCACGTACCTAGTCCCAATTACTAGGATGTCTGGGGAAGGAAGATCCACTTGAGCCTAGGAGTTCGTGTCCAGTTTGGGCAACATAGCAAGATTCCATTTCTCTCTAAAAGAAAAAAAATGAGCCAGGCATGGTGGCTCATGCCTGTAATCTCAGCACTTTGGGAGGCTGAGGTAGGAGGATTGGTTGAGGCCAGCAGTTTGAGACCAGCCTAGACCACACAGCAAGACCTTTTGTCTATTAAAAAATATAAAAATTAGCCAAACATAGTGGCACGTGCTTCTAGTCCCAGCTACTCGGGAGCTGAGGAAGGAGGATTGCTTGAGTCTAGGAGTTAAAAGCTACCATGAGCTATGATTACACCACTGCACTCCAGCCTGGGTAACAGAGTAAGATCCTAGCTCTTTAAAAAAAATGTTGAAATTCTAACCCCTGGTTACCTATGAATATGACTTTTTTTAGAAATATAGTCTGTGTAGATGTAATTAAATTAAGGATCTAGAGATGAGATCTGTTACAAACCACTGTGGGACTGACTAGCCACCTGTCCCTTTGCATCTTGGATGCACCCGAGGTCAAGTCCAAGAAGACACAGGTTCTCGCTGTGAGAGTAATTGGCTCTCATGCTTTCAGTGTGGATTGCCAGTTAGCTCTCCATGGAGATCCACTGCTGCTCTCCCGGGCAGGTAGGGAGCGCTTGTTCCCCTACACCCTCATATCTTTGCTCATATGAGAAGCAGTCTGCAGACAGGCAGTCTAGAGTGCCTTCAGCAGTTCCATGGTGCCATGAGGAGCTCTTTCCATTCCTCTCCACGCAGCCGCCTTAACACGTACTATTGCCTCATAGTCACTAAATGGCTGCCCTACCTCCAGCATTGCATCGATATCCCAGGTGAGGAGAGGGGAAAGGCAAACAGTATAAGGCATGTGCCTTCCTTTCAAGGTGCTTTCTTGGAGGCCACACCTTGCAATTTGTCATTACATTTTACTGATTAAAACTGTCACATGGCTCTATCATCAAGGAGAGTTGAAAATATGGTTTCAGCTGAACATATTACCATGCCCAACAGGACGGCATTCTTTCTGTTAGGTGGAAAGGAGGGTAGAAGGGATGCTGTGTGGCCCTGCAGCCTCCGTTTCCTTTGCCTGCTTTTCTAAATGACTTCAGGCTTTGCGTTACTGATGAGCAAGTATTGGTGACATGAATCACAAATCCTGTTGTTAATCAGCCTCCTGGCCCCGCACCCTTCCCCTGCACCCCCTCCCCGCAACCCACCCCGGCCCGGCCCTGGTCTAGCTCTTCCCCAACCCTGTGAGTCCAGCAGACAAGTGCACTTCTGGAGGTGCTGAGAGACCCCTGCAGCGATGGTGAATGCTGGACCCTTCACTACTGAGAGCCTGCTGCTGTCCCTGGTTGGGGACTGAGGAGCCCTGAACTTGACCAAGGCCCAAGATTTTATCACAGACTCAGAGACTCTTGGGCAGCCACAGGCCGGTCTCAGCGACAGGCTGGTTCCCCATTAGGAGCCAACTCCTGTGGCAAGGGCCTCCCCTGCCTCCTCTGGGAGAGAGAGCCCACCTGGCCTAGGCCCATCTCTGCTGGCCGGGTCAGAAGGACCTGGTCCAGGGCCCCTGAGGCATGTGTCACCCCTTGCCCCCAGCCCCAGGCCCCTCTCTGTGAATAGGCTGGGCACCACGTGTCCTGGCGGCCGCCAGCCCAGCATTAGTGGCAAGGACCTGGCTGTGGGCCTGGCCCGGCCTGGCATGGACTGGGATGTCATCTACTAGCTTCTCACTTGGCTCTGCAGCTTCCAGGACCCTCTGGCCCAGTGTGGCCCTGCCCAACCCGCCTTGCCTGGGGCTGATGGCACAGGGCTCAAGGCTCTGACCTTATTAAAAATGCATGCTCACACTTCCAAAACACAGACGTCATTGATGAGAAGTGGAGTCGCCGTTGCCTGAGCCGGGGAGGCCAGAGGAGGTTGTCAGCAGCGTCCCGCAAAGTCATCACCCTCAGCGGCCATGCTGACTCACTGCTCTCAGAAGGGTCTGTCCTGGCTCCTGGGCTTCTCTGACAAGATGTTGTCAGTTACACGGGGGGAGGTCAGTGCCCTCGGTGTGGGTACAGCCTGGCAACTGCAGGAAACTGAGAGGGAAACTGAGGTGCCAACCCCCAGCAGAGCCCCTCCTGGCAGCTCAGCACCCCCCGAGCCCCCTCTCCGTGCCCAGCCCCACTCACAGGATGTCACTGGGTCCCCGTGATCTATGTATTCTCTTTCCTCTCTGGCGAGCGCCCAGGTGACCGTCTAGCCAGGAAAGGGACAGTAAACAAGCCATGCCGTGACTAGGACAGGCCATGTCCCACGAGGACTGGTCAGGAGCACAGTCCTCACAGCCGTGGGGTGATAGTGCCAGGAGGAGGTCGCAGGCAGAGGGAACAGCCAGTTCCCCGATGAGGAAACAGGAGGCCAGTGTGACTGGAAGAGAGCCAGGGCGGGCCGGGGACTCCGAGGGAGCTGGGCATGCCCCTGCAGGGCCCCGCTGGCCACGGTGAGGAAGGACGCCTGGGGCGACATCCATCTGAGAAACCTCGCCCTGACTGCTGGGTCGAAGAGAGACTTGAGGGGAAGCAAGAGGAGAGGCAGGGAGAGCAGCTGGGGTCCCCCAGCCAAGCGGCCAGGAAGAGAGACAGAGAGACACGCTGGGATCAGGGAACCGTGTTTACTGTGCCACAAGGTTGGGGGCAGTAAACAAGGGGCAGGCTTGGGCGGAGCCCAGGAGGCTGGTTTCAGACGCACTCATGTGAGACGTCTGCCCCAGTATCCAGGAGAGGCCCAGCGGCAGCAGGATCGAGGTTTTTGAGTTCAGGGAGCGGTGCTGGCTGGGGTGTCCATTTGGCAATCAGAATGCTGTCAGCCTTGAAGCTGGCTGCGATCACTCAGAAAGTAGATAACGAACAAACGTCACCATAGGGGAACTGCACCCTGAGCCCCTCCAATATGTGGAGGCTGAGAAGACAAAGAGGCACCCACAAGGGAGTCCTAGAACGAAGGGCTGTCCCCGGGAGAACGTTGCTACCAGCTGGCATTCCAGGGGGAGTCCAGAAACCAGTCCTGGCACTCCCAGGAGAAAGGGATTTAAATTTAACACGGGGAACCTTGTGCTTAAAGCCGTTGCAAGGGCTGGAAGAACTCATGCTGAGTCAGTCCTGGCTCCCAGCTGGTCAGGGCACTGCAGGGAGCAGCTCCCCACCACATGGAGCGGGAGAGGCAGGGGCGAGCAGAAGGCTCTGGGAAGCCCAGCATCTACCACCCCTGGGGAGCTGAGGAGAAGAGGCGTCCCCCAACCTTGCCCCTGCCATTTCTCCCATAAGTGTATATCTTGCTAGCAGAGCCCAGGCTGCACCCAGAACCCCAGAGGCAGAGCTGCTGAAGCGGGTAGTTCTCAGGCCTCCAGCCCCTGCACTGCAAGGGCAACACTAGAAGGGTGTGGAAATGGCCCTATTTGCAGAGCAGTACCCAAAATGTTCTCGTTCACATGTGTGGAAACCGAGGCCCCACAAGGTCATGTGGCTTGTCCAGAATGCTTCAGGTTAGCTCGTTACCCTGTTATCTTAGTGTAAAAGCAACTGAAGGGCTGGGTGGGGTGGCTCACACCTGTAATCCCAGCACTTTGGGAGGCCGAGGCAGGCGGATCACATGAGGTCAGGAATTGGAGACCAGCCTGGCCAAAATGGTGAAACCCCATCTCTACTAAAAATACAAAAAATTAGCTGGACGTGGGTGGCTGGAGTCTGTAGTCCCAGCTACTCGGGAGGCTGAGGCAGGAAAATTGCTTGAACCCGGGAGGCGAAGGTTGCAGCAAGCTGAGATGAGAAGGTTGCAGTGAGCCACTGCACTCCAGCCTAGGCAACAGAGCAAGACTCCGTCTCAATAAAAAAAAAAAAGAAGCAACTGAAGAAATCACAAAGGAAAAGATAGATTTGATCTAAAATAAAAGTAAAATTCCGGCCTGGTGCGGTAGCTCACGCCTGTAATCCCAGCACTTTGGGAGACCAAGGCGGGCAGATCGTGAGGTCAGGAGATCAAGACCATCCTGGCTAACATGGTGAAACCCCATCTCTACGAAAAATACAAAAAATTAGCCGGGCGTGGCAGTGTGTGCCTGTAGTCCCAGCTACTCAGGAGGCTGAGGCAGGAGGATGGCGTAAACCCGGGAGGCGGAGCTTGCAGTGAGCCGAGATCGCGCCACTGCACTCCAGCCTGGGCAACAGAGAGAGACTCCGTCTTGGGAAAAAAATATATATATATATTTATTGTGGTAAAATACACATGACGTAAAATGTACCACTGTAGCCATTTTTCAGTGTAGAGTTCCCTGGGGTTAGGCACGTTCCCACTGTTGTGCATCCATCACTGCCCTCTATCTGCAGAAGCTTTTCACCTGAGCAAACTGAAGCTCTGTCTGCATTAGGCGACTCTCATGCCTGCTGGCCCCTGGCGCCCTCTGCTCTGCCTCGATGCGGTGGCCTGTTCTCATTAGCTAGAACCTCACAGTACTTGTCCCTTGTGTCATTCCTTGCACTGCCTCATTGTCTTTGTTTATTTCTGTCTTTGCCCCTACCTCATCTCACCAACACAGGAGAATCTGGGGACCAGTCCCTGAGTGGGGAGGTACTGCCAGCTTCCCTGGGGGCCCAACTAACTGGCCCTTAGCAGCCCTGGGGCCACTCCACCCCTGCCTTTGCCCAAGTTTCCCACCCCCACCGCTGCCCTCTCCTCCCGGCCCAGCCAGGGCCCCCCACCGGCTATTTCTCTTCCAGGCTCTGAGTCCCCAGACGCAGAGCTTTGTTTTGGAGGTGCTGTCTGGGTGCCTCGAGTACCGGAAGCTGCTGACCATTGTGGTGGATGCCTTCTACGTGGAGGATGGCCGACTCTGCCTGCGGGTTGACCGCAGCCGCTTCATGGGTACGTGCCCGACTGGTCCCCAGGGCCGGGCCACAGAGACCGTTCACTCAGGCTCTCTGTGGAAAGGCCTGGCAGGCAGGCGGCGGGCGGGCGGTGCAGCTCCCGTTCCTGCCCTTGCACTAGAGACTTCCTGGGCCCTCGCCTCACTTGGTCCTCACGGGGCAGACCAGGACCTTGGAGACAGGGAACTAATGCCCCAGGGCAGCCGGACCTGGCTCTGCCACCCCAGTTTAGGGCATCCAGCTCCCAAAGGCAGCCTGGACAACACGAGAGCCTTCCGTAGGCTGACCCCTAGCCACCACTGACCCCAAGGCCTTTGGACAAGATGGACCCTGTGGCTGCAGTCTGGACAGTCCTATGGGGGATTGAATACAAGAGACTCGCTGCCTGGGCCTCCTGTAGCCTCTGACAGCTGTCTGCTTTCATGGGGCAGGACGACCATTGCAAGCCAGGTGGCCCGTGCTGCTGGGGGGCGATCAGGGCAGCCCTGAGACCCTGCACAGGGTCTTGCTGCCCCTGTCCAGGAAGGGAGAGGAGTGGGGCGAGCACTGTAGGGTACTGGGAAACTGAGCGGAGCCATTGGTGCCAGTCCTGAGCTAGGCTCCTGTCCCCGACCCCTTGCCACCCAGCTGGAGCCTTATGATGGGCAGTGCGTCTAGGCTGCAGGCTAGGGGCCTGTTACAGTTCCTGCCTTGGAGTAAACTTGGGCCCAGGTTTATTCACGTTCTAGCTGGCTTGAGGTGACAACTGAGCTGCTCAGAATTGACAAACAAGTCCAAAATGATTTCACTTTTACCTGGGGAGCCTTTGCAAATTCTGAGAATTTATCAGATGGGATTATTTGACAAAGTGCTTTGCAACCACAAATGCATTACACTCTAAGACAATGTTGTTTGTGGTCGCTTATCATTTTCAGGTGGGCACCAGAGGGGTGGAGGTTTTCCTGTGGCTGTGTGCCCTGACATGGTGGAGGCCTTGGGCTCCAGTCCCACCGTGCCCCTGGTGCCCCTGTGATGTCCCTGAGCCTCTGACAGGTCCCCTGTTTTCTAGTGATCTGCTACCTAGCCACATTCCTGCTGGAGGAACTCGGCTTCCAGCTGTTCTGTAACATCATCAAGTCCCAACCTGTGGATAAGATGTGCAAGGTGAACCGCCCCTACCTGCCCACCAGGCCACGAGGCCCACGGGTGAGGTCCATCTGATCCTCGCCCACCTTTCACCATTCTGGTTGGTTTTAATGAAAGAAACTCTGGTGGTTTTCTTTTGTATTTCAAAGAAGTAGCAAGCCAGTCATGCTGGTGCCCGTCTGTGGTCCCACCTGCTTGAGAGGCTGAAGTGGGAGGATCACTTGAGTCCAGGAGTTTGAGGCTGCAATGAGCAGTGATTGAACCACTGCACTTGGGCCTGGGTGACAGAGCAAGACCCTGTCTCTAAAAATCAAAGAAACAACAACAACAAAAAAAAACCCAATGCACACCGACTAGTGCGGCTAAATGCACTGCTTTTGTCCTGGGGAAATCCGATTCCGCTCCTGGGGGGCCTCTTCTGACTTGTAACAGGCCCAGAACAGCCTCTCCTCCCTGTGTAGCTTTAGGGGTCCCAGGGAATTGGTTCGGGGTCAGTTCTGAGGATTGGCACCCCAAGGGGGAGCCTGCGGGAGCCCACACCCCTGACTGCCTGGGGCCACTTGCATGGGAAGCAGGCACACACAGGCCTCCGGACCGAAACGTCTGGGCTTGGGCCTGCTGCTCGTGCTGGCTGCTGCCCACTCCCACTGACTGCCAGGTTTCCCCGGACACTCATCGTGCCTGTTCTTGCTCCATTCTTTTTTTTTTTTTTTTTTTTTTTTTTTTTTTTTTTTTTTTTGAGACGGAGTCTCGCTCTGTCGCCCAGGCTGGAGTGCAGTGGCCGGATCTCAGCTCACTGCAAGCTTTGCCTCCCGGGTTTACGCCATTCTCCTGCCTCAGCCTCCCGAGTAGCTGGGACTACAGGCGCCTGCGACCTCGCCTGGCTAGTTTTTTGTATTTTTTAGTAGAGACGAGGTTTCACCGGGTTAGCCAGGATGGTCTCGATCTCCTGACCTTGTGATCCGCCTGTCTCGGCCTCCCAAAGTGCTGGGATTACAGGCTTGAGCCACCGCGCCCGGCCCTCTTGCTCCATTCTTAAAATGACCCAGCGAGGTTGCTCCTACATGGTACCCATCCCAGGGTTGCGGAAACTGGAGCACAGAGAGGATAAGTAATTTGCCCAACGTCACACAGCAGGAGGGTAGCACAGCCAATTCTCAGACTAGGCTTTTAGCCACTGGCTCGCTCCTCCTTACTCTGCGTAGAGGGGACAGTTTCAGCTGAGGAGAGTCACTCCCTGGAGAAGAGAGTGGGAAAGCCCTTGGGCCCAGACCTTCAAGGTCTCTCTTGAAGGAAGCAACTAGTTCTTCAGGGGGTGTTCCAAGCCTGGAGAAGTGGGAGAGACCTGGAATGGCAGAGCCCACCAGGATTGCAGCCCCAGAGATCTGGGACTGGCGGCTCACAAAGTGCCTCGGCCACCTAACAGGTGAAGGGAGGGAGAGTGCAGCCCCAAGCCAGCACTGTGTACGTCAACGACATGTTTTCCATCCACATGGAAATGTAAGTAATTCATGACGCGTACACATTTGTATAGTTAGCTTTAGCAAGGTCTTCATTTTAATGAAAAAGCAGCAGAACTGATGGCATTTTCTGGGAGATACCTGGAGACTGGAAACAAGCAGGCACTGATGTCTGCTCTTCTGTTACAATCTTGATATTCTTTTTTTTTTTTTTTTTTTAAGACGGGGTCTCGCTCTGTCACCCAGGCTGGAGTGCAGTGGTGCGATCTCGGCTCACTGCAACCTCTGCCTCCCGAGTTCAAGTGATTCTCCTGCCTCAGCCTCCCAAGTAGCTGGGATTACAGGCATGTGCCACCATGCCTGGCTAATTTTTGTATTTTAGTAGAGACAGGGTTTCACCATGTGGGCCAGGCTGGTCTCAAACTCCTGACATCAGGTGATCCGCCTGCCTTGGCTTCCCAAAGTGCTGGGATTATAGGCGTGAGCCACCGTGCCCAGCTTATCTTGACATTCTTAATGAACAGGCGGGGCATGGTGGCTCATGCCTATAATCCCAAAACTTTGGGAGGCCAAAGCTGGGAGATTGCTTGAGCCCAGGAGGTTGAGACCAGCCTGGGCAACATAGAAAAACCTCATCTCTATAAAAAAATGGGATTTTTTTGGTTTTTTTTTTTTTTTTTTTTGAGATGGAGTCTCACTCTGTCACCCAGGCTGGAGTGCAGTGGTGCGATCTCGGCTCACTGCAAGCTCCACCTTCTGGATTCATGCCATTCTCCTGCCAAGTAGCTGGGACTACAGGCGCCGCCACCACACCTGGCAAATTTTTTTTGTATTTTTAGTAGAGACGGGGTTTCACCATGTTAGCCAGGATGGTCTTGATCTCCTGACCTTGTGATCCACCCGTCTTGGCCTCCCAAAGTGCTGGGATTACAGGTGTGAGCCTCCGTGTCCAGCCAAATTTTTTTTTAAAATTAGCCTGGCATGGTGATGCTTACCTGTAATTCCAGCCACTCAAGAGGTTGAAACAGGAGGATCACTTGAGCCCAGGCGTTTGAGGCTGCAATGAGCCGTGATTGTGCCACTGCACTCCAGCCTGGGCGACAGAGCAAGACCTCTTCCTAAATGATAATAATAATTATTATTATTATTGAGGCTGGGCGCGGTAATCCCAGCACTTTGGGAGGCTGAAGTGGGTAGATCACTTGAGGTCAGGAGTTCGAGACCAGCCTGACCAACATGGTGAAACCCCGTCTCTATTAAAAATAGAAAAAAATTAGCCGGTCGTGGTGGCACATGCTTATAATCCCAGCTACTCAGGAGGCTAAGGCAGGAGAATCACTTGAACCTGGGAGGCGGAGGTTGCAATGAGCTGAGATTGCACCGTTGCACTCCAGCCTGGGTGACAGAGCGAGACCCCGTCTTAAAAAAAAAAAAAAATTACTGAACAAAGATCCATGTTTTGTCTTGCCCTGGGTCCCACAGTGGTGGAAGTGACCCTGGATCAATCTCAGCCTGCAGAGTCCCCAAAGCACCAGCCCAGGACAGAGTGCTCAGGGGCTGCTACAGAGACTCCCTAGGAATTCGGGGCGCTGGCCGCACAGAACCCTTGGGCCCAGGGTGGTGCCCCCAACACTGGTGCCTGTGCACTTACCAGCTGAGAGAGCCTCTGGAGGCAGGTCCATGGGAACAGCCCACATAAACCCCCAAGGGTACTGCCTGAGGGACTGCCTCCCTCCATCCCACACCCCATGCCCCACTGGGCCATGCCCATCCCATTGGGGTCCTTCTTCCTACCTTGGGGCTCCAGGAAGAGGCCAGCCTGGGCCTTGAAGAAGGAGAGCAAGCTACTGGGACGCCACCCTGTGGGCTCTCCAGGGAAGCCCCTGGGCCACACCTTGGGTGCTGTCACCACCATGGTCAGCAGTAGTGAGCAGTGACACGGTGTGGCTCCCAGGAGCTGGCATTCCTCACTCTGCAGGGAGTAGCCCTGAGACACCTGTGGGGGGCTGATGGCCCCGCTGGCTCCAGGGAATCCGCCAACTGGCAGAGGGGGATTCAGACCCACCGCAAAGCCCCACCCCAACTCCAGCAGGTTCTGGGTACGGCTGCCCCACCACACCCCAGTGAGGATGGGGGCCTCAATACAGGGCTGGTCCTGGTGGCAGCAGCCCAGCTGAGACATTGAGTGTGGGGATGGGGTTTGGAGATGGAGGGATTGGGTGGGGACAGGGACCAGTGCTGAGTCTGGGGCCATCACCATGGAGCCCCAGACCCTCAGCTCCCCGTCCAGCTGGCTTTCGGGAAGCTGACTGGACAAGGCCCTCCAAGCTGAGGATGTGCTGCCAGCTTCTCAGGCACCCCTCTCCCCATGGCAGCCCACCCAGGGACCCCGGGGGCTGTGCTCCTCCCAGCTGAAGGGGAGCCAAGGTCCAGGCCTCCAGCACCAGCACCAGCACCAGCACCGCACATCAGAGCGCCAGGAGAGTTCCGTAGTGACAGTCCCAGAAGCATACCCTGCACGATGGCCTTGGGGGCAGGGAGCCACTGGGGGTGCTGGTGGCCTTGGGGGCAGGGAGCCACTGGGGGTGCTGGAGGCCTTGGGGGCAGGGAGCTCACTGGGGGTGCTGGGGGCCTTGGGGGCAGGGAGCTCACTGGGGGTGCTGGGGGCCTTGGGGGCAGGGAGCTCACTGGGGGTGCTGGGGGCCTTGGGGGCAGGGAGCCACTGGGGGTGCTGGGGGCCTTGGGGGCAGGGAGCTCACTGGGGGTGCTGGGGGCCTTGGGGACAGGGAGCCACTGGGGGTGCTGGGGGCCTTGGGGGCAGGGAGCCATTGGGGGTGCTGGGGGCCTTGGGGGCAGGGAGCTCATTGGGGGTGCTGGGGGTTTTGCCCGGTGAGGGGTTGGGCCCACAGCTCCAGCCCCGTGACAGCCCCGCTCCACCCCAGTTCCTTAGGTTCTTCTTCAACCCCCTGCACCTGTGCTCGTGGATCAAGGACGAGTGGAGCCTCATCTACGAGCCGGCCCACGTGAAGGAGAACTGGCTCGACCCCCTGATGAGGTGGGCTGGATGGGGTGCTCTGGGGGCCCTGAATGGCATCTGTACCCCACTCCAGGTGCCTCCACAGGCACAGGAGCTCCACGTTCCCCTTCCTGCTCCCAGAAGCTCTATGAGTGTCAGTAATCACTCCGTGTTGGGATGAGAGCTTCGGAGAAGCCCCAAGTGCCGGGCTGGCCCCACAGCTTCGGCGGGGAGGAACGGACATGGTCCAGCTGCCCAAGCGCCAGCCTGGGTTCCCTCCATGCCAGGCAGCTGACACGTGGTGGGTGGCTGATGGCCATTTCAGGACTGGCTGAGTGAATGGGGCAGAGGACTACGTGCTGGCTGGGGCTGCGTTGGTGGCTCTAGTCCTGTGGGGACACTGCAGGGCCCTTGGCCTCTCCGCAGATCCCAAGAGTGCAGAGTACGGGTGGGGGTGGAGGGAGCTGAGGAAACCACACATCAGTTCCTGGTGGATTCTGGGGTCCAGATCTCTCTTGGGGTCCCCAGGGCCATGTCCAGGCCTGCTGCCCTCATGCTGCCCTTGCCGCCTTCTCCTGCCTCCCCAGCAGGACTGGGGCAAACACCAGGGCAGGCCAGAACCCCCACGCAGAGGGGTCAGCACAGTCACTAGGGCCCTGCCTTGTGCTCCATGGAGAGGCCCACTGGGGCCTGGGTGCAGCTGAGGGGCCCCCCAGTTTTTTCCTTTCTGATAGGACTGAGGGGAGCCACTTTGTCTTCCTAAGGACAGACAGACAGACTGTTCTGGCACAAGCAGACCACTTAGGTGCCAGCTGGGTGCAGAAGACCTGGAGGCCCGGGGAGATGGAAGCCCTTCCTGTGGGGAGAGGAGGCCTGGAGATGTTCCTTTACCAAGGGGAAATCCCCAGTCCCAGCCAGCCCACTCCTGGCAATCAAGATAAACCTCCAAAGGAAGGAGTAGGAGCAGCCCTGCTGGTGCCCCTACCTTGTGCCCCAGGCTGGACTCACTGCCTACTCAGGGGCCCCCATGGCCTGGGCCTGCAGGGTTGCCTCTGGGAAGCTGCTCAGCTCAGTTCCCATGAGCCCCTCTTCCTGCGCCACCACCCCCAGTCGGCTTCCTCTGCCTGCTCTAGGACCAGCCCCATCACAAACCTCCTGCCCCTCTCCCCAACCTGCCTCAAGCTGGGAGCACTGGGGCCTGGCCCTGGAGAGACCCCCAAGACCCTCCTTGCTATGGGCCCTGGACCATGGCTTTTAAGGTGAGGCAGGAGCTATTTCAAGCCATGCCCTCTGCCGCCTGGGAGCCCACATGAGAGGACACTTGATAGGCTGGTGATGGCGGGCTGTGCCCATGCAGGGTGTGGGACATGGAAGGGGGAGCCCCAGACTTGGGCGGCCTGGCAAGGCCCTTCCCAAACCCCTGCTCCAGAGCACCCCCACCCAGAGGCTGTACCAAGTACAACTGGGCTCCTGCCCCGCCTGACTCCACAGCTCCACTTCCAGGAGTCACCAACAGTGTAGTTCCAGAATGTTCCTTTCCAATCAGCTCCTTTCTCCACTGCTGGCTTCCATCTGCTCCGGCCCAGATTGGCTTCCTGAGTCCTGGCGACTGCTTGTCCTCAGAGCCCCTGGATTCCTGCAGCAGGGCTGTGCCTGTCCTCTCAGCTCCCCACTCACCAGCATGGCCCAATGCCTCTGGGCCTGTTTCCTGTATCTGTACAAGGGGACTGCATCTGTATATGTTTCAGGGGTGTGGTTGACAGTGTGTGTGCCTACAAGTAGAAGGCACTTCGTGAAGTGAGGCCATCCACCCCACTATCACCTCCACCCCAAGGTGGATCCAATCACCTGGGAGCCTTTTGTATCCTAAAGGCCATCGCCTTATTGAATAGCTTACGGAGTGACCATAAGAGGCGTTTCCACTTTTGCCTTCAAGATGGCAGCCAAAGGTCCAGGAGCTGATCAACCACCTGGAGGGCATGTCTGCCAGTCAGTCCTCTCCTTTAAAGACCAAGGCCAAGGTCACAGAGCCCAAGGAATTCAACCTGACTGCCCCCAGGCCTCGCACCATTCCAGCGCCTGAGCTAGTCCCGGTCGTGGCCAAGCCAAGACCAGTGAGTGTGGGCATTCTCAGCGGGCACCGGCTTGCAGGCATCAGGGTGGCCAGGCTGGGAGAGTGGACTGTGTGGGCCTGTGGGATACTGGGCCCCCCGCAGGGCTGAGGGTGCACTGAACTAGACCAGGAACACTAAATGACCCCACCCCATCCCCACCCCCACTCCCCACATTGAGGGAAGCCCAGCTGACCCGGAGCCCACCCGGTGGGCTCCCACACTCCACACACTGTGGTCCTCTTAAGTAGGTGTTGAGTGGAGCTGTCAGGCCATGGGGCTCTGACCTGTCTGGAGTTGGAGCTTAGAGCCCACTTTTAACTCTGACGTATTGCAACACCCCTCCCCATTAAGTATGACACGTAGATAACAGCATACTCTTTGGGCAGGCCTAGAGACTCTTCCTCTCTTTTTCTCTCCCCACTGCTGACTTATCAGTCAGGATGCTTTGTATTGCAAATAACAGAAAAATGCAGCTCAAACTGGCTTAGACAATAGAGCACGGGCTCTACTGAGTGAAGTAGGATAGGCTTCAGGCATACGTGACCAGGGTTCCGGCTCTGCTTCTCTGTGGCTCTCTGTCCTAGTCTCCTCTGTAAGTCGAATTCATCTTTGGGCTAACTTCCCTGATTATAGCAAAATATCCTCATTTGCCACCACCTATACCATGAGAGGACACCTGGGGCCAAGAATTCTTTGGAAAAGTCTGACTGGACCAGCTTAGGTCTCATGCCTGCCTTGAATTGATCACTGTGATCAGGAATATAATGTCTTGACTGGTCACGGGCTCTACCCCAAGCAATGGACTGAGCTTCCCAGAACCAACAGGTTCTGCAACAGGACTAAGGGATGTATGTGAGGGGAAGGGGATGGTGCTGGGAGGCCCCAGAGTCCTGCCCCACTTCCGCTATCCTTCAGGTCTCATTAAAATCCCTCTTCCTGCGGCCGTGCTCAGCCTGTAATCCAGCCTTTGGAGCCGAGAGGCGGATCACGAGGTCAGAGATGAGACATCCTGGCTAATACGGTGAACCCCGTTCTACTAAAAATACAAAAAAAAAAAAAACTAGCCGGGGAGGTGGGGGCCTGTAGTCCAGCTACCGGAGTGAGGCAGGAGAATGGTAAGCCGGAGGCGGAGCTTGCAGTGAGCTGAGATCCACTGCACTCCACCGGCTACAGAGCAAGACTCCGTCTCAAAAAAAAAAAATAAAAAATAAAATAAAAAAAAAAAAAAAAAAAAAAAAAAAAAAAAAAAATAAAATAAAATCCCTCTTCCAGAGAGGCTTTTCATGAATGCCTCAAACATGTCAGGTCCTTCACTTAGTTTCCTTCTCACTGATCCTGGCTCCTTTTCTTCACAGATTTGAATTTAGAGTTGTTTAGTAATTTGTGGACCTGCCTATTGTCTGCCTCCTCCAGCAGACATCATCCATCTTATTTGTCCCATATTCTTTTTATTTTATTATTATTATTATTATTATTATTATTATTAGAGACAGAGTCTCTCTCTGTCACCCAGGCTGGAGTGCAGTGGCGCAATCTTGGCTCACTGCAACCTCTGCCTCCTGGGTTTAAGTGATTCTTCTGCCTCAGCCTCTGGAGTAGCTGGGATTACAGGTACCGGCCACGACGCCCGACTCATTTTTATATTTTTAGTAGAAGTAGGGTTTTGTCACGTTGGCCGGGCTGGTCTCTAACTGACCTCAGGTGATTCAGCCACCTCGGCCTCCCAATGTGCTGGGATTACAGGTGTAAGCCACCGCACCTGGCCATTATTTCTCCCATATTCTCAATGCCTAGCCTAGTCATGGCTCAAAGCAGAACCTCAGTGAATATCTGTTGGATGGATGGGTGGACGGATGGATGGATGAATGGATGGACTATCGGATGGTAGGTGGATGGGTGGATGGATGGATAGATGGATGGATGGATGATTAGATGGGTGAATGGATAGATGGATGATTGGATGGAAGAATGGATGGGTGGATGAATGATCAAATGGATGGACGGGTACATGGGTGAGTGGGTGGATGGATGTCAGATGGATGGATGAAGAGATCACCAGGTAGATGGATGAATGAGTAGATGGATGGGTGGGTGAATGAATGGAGGGATGGGTAGATGGATGGATGGGTAGATGGATGGATGGATGGTTGGATGCACAGAAGGATAAGTTGATGGATAGATGGATAGTCAGATGGAAGGATGGGTGGGTGGATGGATGGAGATCAGATGGATGGATGGATGATAGATGGTCAGATGGGTAGATGGATAAACAGATGGGTGAGTAGATGGATGGGTGAGTGAATGAATGAATGAGTTGGTAGATAGATGGATGAATGGAAGGATAAGTGGATGGATAGATGGATGACTGGATGGATGGATGGATGGATGGATGGATGGATGGATGGATGGATGGACGGACACATGGAAGGATAAGTGAATGAATGTAAGGATAAATGCATGCATGGAAGGATAAGTGGATGGGTGGATGGATGGATAATTGGACGATTGGATGGATGATTGTATAGATGATCAAATGGGTGGGTGGGTCAGTGAATGGGTGATCAGGTGGATGGATAGATGATCAAATGGATGAATGGATGAATAGATGAATGGGTAAGTGAATGAATGGATGGGTGGGTAGATAGATGGATGAATGGATAGATGGACAGATGGATGGACAGATGGGTGGATGGATAATTAGATGAGTTTATGGGTGGATGAATGGATGAACACATGGGTGAGTAGATGAATGAGTGAGTGAATGAATGGATGGGTGGGTAGATGGATGGATGGATGGATGGATTGGATGACTGGATGGATAATTAAATGGTTGGATGGGTGGGTAGGTGAGTGAATGGATGACCAGATGGATGGATAAATGATCAAATGAATGAATGGGTGATTTGATGGATGAGCAGATGGGTGGGTAGGTGAATTAATGGATGGGTGGGTAGATGGATGGATGGATGGATGGATGGATGGATGGATGATTAGATTATGGATAGATAGATGGATGATCACATGGGTGAGTAGATGAATGAGTGGGTGAATGAATGGATGGGTGGGTGGATGGATGGATGGATTGTTGGCTTCATGAAGGATAAGTAGATGGATGGATGAGTGGATGAATGGATGGATGGATAGATGGATGGATGGATGGATAGAGGGATGGATAGATGGATAGACGGATGGATGGGTGGGTGAGTGAGTGGGTGGGTGGATGATCAGATGGATGAATGATTAGATGGAGGTGGATGAAGGATGGATGATCAGAGACCTTGTTGCTGAGCAATCCCACAGTTGCCCCATCTGTATAATCTTCAGCATTTCTGACCCCATCTCCTCAGGGCTCAGTGTGTTTGTCTCAGGTCATGCTGCCAGCTTCCTCTCTCTCTCTCTCTCTCTCTCTCTCTCTCTCTCTCTCTCTCTCTCTCTCTCTCTCTCTCTCTCTCTGTGTGTGTGTGTCTGTCTGCCAAGCACAGCCCCTGCCTGGGCCCTCACCATGCCCTCCCATGCTCTATAGCTGTGTGCTTCTCAGTACAATCTGTGAGATGTTGGTGGACATGTACCTTCTCTGCATCCACAGGGTGGCTGTGCTGAAACTATACTCTACCCTCCCTACCCTGTCCCATGCCTAAGACATCCTTCCCCTTCAGGGTTGAGGGCCCACTGGAATTCACTCATTCATTCATCCAACAGATAGTTACAGAGTGCCAAGTGTATGCCAGGCACTGTGACCTCATGAAGCATGCACTTCAGTGGGGGACGCAGACAAAATCAGGATAAGTAAAACATATGTTGTATTAACTGGTGATAAATGCTGAGGAGACAAAAGGATGCAGACAAAGGAGATGAGCATTGGAGCGGTTGTGATTCTAGATTGTGTGGCCTGGAAAGGCCCCCCAAGAAATGCCATGGAGTAAAAATCCAGAAGTGAGCAAGTCAGCCATGGGGTGTCTCAGGGAAGAGCATCCTGGGCAGGAGCAAGGTGCAGGCAAAGGCCCGGGGCGGTGCCCACCCCCCGTCAAGTGTTTAAGGGCGGCCAGGAGGGGCTGGAGTGGAGTGAGGCAGGGAAGAGGGAAGGCGGGGTACCAGTCTGGTGACACATGCACTGGAGGGAGCAGAGACAAGACACATTGAGGCAGGCTGGCACCAACACAGGGTCCCTCCAGCTGCCGTGGCCAAGGAGGGTGGTGAGAGGCAGTTTGTGGAGATGTCTTGAAGCAGGTGGGCAGGAGATGAATGTGGGTGTGAGAGACAGGTGACAAGGAGGACTCTGAGGCATGGGTGAGGATTGGACAGCAGTTGTGGTCAGTGAGGCTGAGGGAGGGCTGGTTGGAGGAAGATGAGGGTTTTAGGTTTGGAAAAGTTGATTTTCCATGACTGTTAGATGTGCAAGGGAGAAGGCATGGAGTTAGGAGGGTAGATACAGCGGTCTGGAGCTGGGCCGGCCTCCTCCTGCTCCTCCATGGACACAGCTCCGGCCATGTTATCGGAGCCTCTTGTGACTGGACTCGGGGATGTGGTCCAGCTGCCCTGTCCTCTGCAGTGTCCCCTCCCCACAGCTTACTTTGCAGGGGTCTGTGATATTCTCCCAGCCTCTCCTGCCCAGGCAGCCATCTTCTGCCTGTCTCCCAGTGTCAAGGGAACTGGCTGCCCTCTTGCTCCTACCCACCCTGGCCATCCCATGCTGGCCGATGGTGCGCCCTTGGTACTGCCGGCTCACGTCTTACCCCACCCACCGCATCCCCGGCCAAGCTCCAGACCCCGCGCCAATGACCAGCCTGACCTCCTTCCCTTTACTTCCAACACTGACCCACCAGCACCTAGCAGTGTTAGCTCCAGCCCTGCTTCTCCTCCAGTGCAGGCTGCCACCACCCTCCCCTTCACCTACATCCACCAAGCTGTTGGCCCTGGCATTCCTGGCCCCTCCCACTCGTAGCGGCTGGCCACAGGCTCCTCCTCCCACCGCTTCAACAGGTCCCCCAGAGCACCTACCATCCACCCAAGGAGCAGCAGCAGCTGGAGACGGTCAAGAGGCACAACCGCCGAAAGGCCGAGGTGAGCTGTGTGCGACCCCTGCCTTCCCAGAGACCCCATGTGGGGGATGTATGAAGGGAAGGTGGGGTGGGGAGAGGGAGGAGGAGGCAAGAGGGGAGAGACTGGGTGGAAGCTCGTCCTCCCATGGCCTGGAGGACACTGGGCAGAGGCTGGTGGAACTGGAGCCGCCATGTCACTGTGGCAGGAGCTGCTGCTGAGGGCAAACATTGAGGAACTGCGCTGCGCCATGCCCAGGTCCTGCGGGGAGCCAGTGCAGGTACCGCCCAGCTCTCTCAAGACCCATCATCGAGGTGGCATCTTCTCAAGCCATCAGAAAGTTCCTCCCAACATTATCGCAGTGACCACTTATGTAGCCTTTTACCACTGAGGGCCAGGGAGGGGCGGATTCTCAGTAACACTGGGAAAGTGCGCCTTGAGCCCACTGCGGTGTGGCCCCTAAGCAGGCGGGTGTAGATGCGCATCCACATCCCCTGGGAGGAAGCTCACGGGAAAGCACCTGCAGGTGCTGCCTCTTGGTGTCTCCAGATGTTCTGTGACGAGCATTTCATGCCTCTGTAAGGAAAAAACAAACCCAGGTATGTTTGCCAATAAAGAAAAAGCAAAGCGGCAAGGACAGGAGAGACTGTGCCTGGCGGGGTTCACTCAGGAGCACGGCCCCACTGGGTGGCAGGGGTCCCACCGTGAGGGCAGACCCGGGGTGGGCAGCCCGCATGGTGCATGCCGCGGGGCCGACTTGGCTGAGTGCTCAGAGGGGTGGCCTTTGCAGCCACTCCACTCACTGCAACTTGCAGTGCCCACCTGGGGTGTGTTGGCAAAGCAGCTGGAGGCTGGGCCGGGAGCAGACAAGCTTGGAGAGAGGCCATGGGGGCCAGCCAGACCCCAGCTCTGGGGGTGGCTGAGAAGAGAGTCACTGAGCCCTGAGGCCAAGTTGTCCTGACTAGAAACCACTGTTCCCAGGCCCACAGGCCCTGCACCCTCCCTGTTCCAACCTGGGTGGAACCCCAGCAAGGTTTGGGGGGCATTGGAAGACAGAGATGCTGACCTGGGGTGGTGGTAGGAGTAGGCAGCTGCGGGGAGGATGAAGAGGAGTGAGCCAGGCCTCCCCAGGGTGCTGGGCCAGCATCTACCTGGTGTGTGTTTGGGGGCACCCAGCAGGCACAGGTGCCAGGCAGCCAGCTCTGCCCTGACTCCTGCAGGGCTCCAAGCAGCAGCTGCGGCTTCAATTCCCACCCCGAATCCGAAAGACTCCGAAGCTGACCTTCTATAGGGTGAGGGATTCTCCTGGATGGTCAGGCTGCTGTCCCTGGGCACCCACCCCTCCAGACCTTTTCTGTCCCTAGAGGCTCAGATGACCTGAGCTGGGGGACCCAGAGTCTCAAGGACGGCCCCACTCTGGGGGAGAGGGAAGCACCCGGGCAGGGAGTAGGTGTGAAGGGCACCTGGGCAGGGGGTAGGTGTGAAGGGCACGAGAGCAGGGGGTAGGCGTGAAGGGCGTGAGGGCAGGGGGTAGGCATGAGGGGCATGAGGGCAGGGGGTAGGTGTGAAGGGCACCCTGGCAGGGGGTAGGTGTAAAGGGCACCCGGGCAGGGGTAGGCATGAAGGGCATGAGGGCAGGAGGGTCACTTGTTGCTCCCAAAGGTCCCCTCAAGTCCCCACCACAGCCAGTCCCCGCTCCACAGCCAGACAACGTCCCGGTCAAGCTGAACACCACAGCCATCCTGCGAGAAGGGGCCTTGTACCAGCGACAGGTGGAGCAAGAGCTGCAGAGGTGAAGGGTGGCAGGCCCCCCACCTGCCTTCCACAGCATCACCCTTGGGAGCAAAGGCCCAGACGAGGGGCCTGGGGGCTGGGCAGCTCCGTGGAGAGGGCCCAGGGGTCACAACAGGCTGTGGTCCTGCAGCGGCAGGGGCGACAAGCAGGACTGTGTCAGGGTCACAGGTGCACCTTACAAAGATCATCCCGGCTCATGGAGGGGCATGAATGGGGGTGGAGGAACTTAGCAAAGGCCTGACCCACCCCAAACTTCCCTTGGGGTTACCTCCTCTCTGGACCCCTTCCCGATGCCCCCCCGCATCTCCTAGACCACCAGGGCTGCGAACTCCTGTGCTTACCCCACGCAATGTGGTCATGTCTTTCCTTGTCTGCAAGTCAGGCTGTGGGGGGAGCATGGGTGCCTGACCAGATGGTAGAGTGGACGCACAGATGGTGCACAGGGGCAAGGGTGGCCAGGCCAGTGGAGGACAGAAGGTTGATAAATGGACAGATGACGGACACAGGGTTGGTGAGTGGACAGACAGTTGGACAAACAAGTGGATGAAGGGAGGGGTGAGTGGATGGGGCTGATGGGTGGATTGTGGGTCGGGGGTAGGAGTAAGGGCAGGCCATGCAGCTGGGTGTCAGGAGTAGCAGCCCACGCCTGCGTGGCCACTGTCCCCCAGGAAAATCTGTGGCCACCCAGTAGCCTCCATCACGGGAGGAACCCCAAGTTATGCTTCTGTCCCTCTTTGCCCAGGGTTGATAAGCTCGTGGATGGGGCTGGGGACTTCTCTGAGTTCCTTGAGTGGCAAAAGAAGATGCAGGCGAAGGACCGGGAAGAGCAGCTGGCTGCAAGCGAGTGCCGGCGGTTGCAAGGGAAGCTTAGCCATGAGGAGGCCATCCTGGCCCGGCAGAGCCTCATGCAGGAGAACAAGCAGAGAGTGGAGCAGCAGAAGGAGCAGGTGGGTGCCATGCGGGGCAGCTGGGCATGGGGCAGCCAGCTGAGCTGTGTGCCCACTGGGAGCTGCAGGGCCAGGACTGGCAGCGGAGCCGAGTGTCCACAGCACCCCCGTAGAAGCTACTGATGTGTCGGTCCCGGCTCCTCTTCCTCCTCGAAGGACACACTGCCTAGGTAGGCACTCTCAGCCTGTGTTCCCCGAGAGTGCCTGCTCCTTCCAGTGGGCCTCCCAGTGGCCTGGACCAGCAGGGAGCCTCAGCCCCAGGAGGCCAGCCTGTATACTCTCTCCTGGGACGTATCCCTTTGCAGGCCTGTGGTCAGGGGCTTGATCAAAGATCACTTAGATTGTTTCTTTTGATAGTTTTGTCTGTGTCTGTATTCAATTTTAAGGTCTGCCTTTTCTTTCCTTTTTACTTTAAAAAAGAAATATGAAGGTCAGGCCAGGCATGGTGGCTCACACCTGTAGTCCCAGCACTTTAGGAGGCCAAGGCCAGAAGATCACTTGAGCCCAGGAGTTCAAGATCAGCCTGAGCAACATAGCAAAATCCCATCTCTATAAAAAATACAAAAATTAGCCGGGCATGGTTGTGCGTGCCCATAGTCCCAGCTACTCAGGAGGCTGAGGTAGGAGGATCACTTGAGCCTGGAAGGTCAAGGTTGCAGTGAGCCATGATCATGTCACTGCATTCCATCATGGGCAACAGAGTGTAGCTGTCTCAAAAAGAAAACAAACAAACAAACATAAAAATGAAGTTCAAACAATGTGAAAAGGTAGACTCAGAGAAGTCTCACCTCTTGTAAGTCTATAACTTACAATCCATTTCCATCTTCCTTTGTAGGTCCTTCCTTTCATGAATTTCTGGATTGCTTTTCCCGTCTTTCAAAGCAAATAACACCCTTGTATATATGTACTTTTTCCTTTCCTTTTTTGTTACATAAAAGGTCACATTTTGCTTTATCTGCAAAGAATAATGTGCAAGGCTTTCACCTTTGCAGAGCTGGATTTTCAGGATAAACTTCTAGAGGAAGTTACATTTTCAGATGTCACACCAAAGAGTAACTGGATATGCGGGAGTCCTCGTTTGGGACGCGTGGTTTTACTGAATATGGCCAATCGTCTCCCTGGTACTTTTATTACCATCTTACTCCCCCAAAGTGTGAGAGGGGTCTGATCCGCATGCCCCAGCCCAGAGTACCAGGTGAATTCGTGAATTTGTGCCTATTTCATGGGTGAGAAATAGTATCTCGGTATAGTTCTGATTTCCATCTCATTTATTTATCAGTGAATTTGAGCAAATGTCCACATGTATAAGTGATTTCTGTGTCTATTTCTATGAACCGTCTATTCGTGTCTTTTGTCCATTTTCTATTGCACTTTTGACCTTCATTTCCTTGACTTTTTTTTGGTTCTTTATTTCTTTAACTTGACAAATGCAATTGAATATATTTATGATATATAACATTTTTTTTTTTTTTTTTGAGATGGAATCTTGCTCTGTCGCCCAGGCTGGAGTGCAGTGGCGCAATCTCATTTCACTGCAAGCTCCGCCTACCAGGTTCACGCCATTCTCCTGCCGCAGCCTCCTGAGTAGCTGGGACTACAGGTGCCCACCACTACGCCCAGCTAATTTTGTGTATTTTTAGTAGAGACAGGGTTTCACCACGTTAGCCAGAATGGTCTCGATCTCCTAACCTCGTGATCTGCCTGCCTTGGACTCCCTAAGTGCTGGGATTACAGACGTGAGCCACCGCATCTGGCTGATTGATTGATTGATTGATTGATTGATTTTCTTTTTCTTTTTCTTTTTTTTTTTTTTTTTTTTGAGAAGGAGTCTCGCTCTGTCGCCCAGGCTGGAGTGCAGTGGTGCCATCTCGGCTCACTACAAGCTCCGCCTCCCAGGTTCACGCCATTCTCCTGCCTCAGCCTTCCAAGTAGCTGGGACTACAGGCGCCTGCCACCATGCCTGGCTAATTTTTTTGTATTTTTAGTAGAGACAGGGTTTCACTGTGTTAGTCAGGATGGTCTCAAACTCCTGACCTCGTGATCTGCCCACCTCGGCCTCCCAAAGTGCTGGGATTACAGGCGTGAGCCACCGCGCCCAGCCTTTTTTTTTTTTTTTTTTAAGATGGAAGCTTGCTCTGTCGCCCAGGCTGGAGTGCAGTGGTGTGATCTCGGCTCACTGCAACCTCTGCCTCCTGGGTTCAAGCAATTCTCCTGCCTCAGCCTCCCAAGTAGCTGGGACTACAGGTGAGCACACCATGCCTGGCTAATTTTTGTTTTTTGTTTTTTTTCTTTTTGAGACAGAGTCTTGCTCTGTCGCCCAGGCTGGAGTGCAATGGTGTGATCATGGCTCACTACAACCTCTGCCTCCCGGGTTTCAGAAATTCTCTTCCTCAGCCTTCTGAATAGCTGGGATTATAGGCATGTGCCACCATGCCCAGCTATATATATATATTTTGGTGTGTGTGTGTATTTTTAGTAGAGATGAGGTTTCACCATCTTGGCCAGGCTGGTCTTGAACTCCTAACCTCGTGATCCACCCACCTCGGCCTCCCAAAGTGCTGGGATTACAGGCGTGAGCCACCGCACCTGGCCTAACATGATCTTTTGGAATACAAATACATTGTGAAATGGCTAAATCAAGCTAATTAGCATATGCATTATCTCATATACTTATTTATGGTAAGAACACTTACAATGTACTCTCTTAGCAATTTTTCTTTTTTTGTTGTTTTTTCTTTGGGTTTTTTTTTTTTTTTTTTTTTTTTTGAGAAGGAGTCTCACTCCATTGCCCAGGCTGGAGTACAGTGGGTTGATCTCACCTCAGTACAACCTCTGCCTCCCAGGGTCAGGCGGTTATCCTGCCTCAGCCTCCTACGTAGCTGGGACTACAGGTGCACACCACCATGCCTGAATAATTTTTGTATTTTTAGTAAAGATGAGGTTTCACCATGTTGGCCAGACTGGTCTCAAACTCCTGACCTCAAGTGATCCATCCACTTTGGCCTCCCAAAGTGCTGGGATTACAGGCATGAGTCACTGTACCCACCCACAGTTTTTCTTTTTTGAGACAGGGTCTCACTCTGTCACTGATGATCTCGGCTGATTGCAACCTCTGCCTCCCAGGCTCAAACCATCCTCCCACCTCAGCCTCCCTAGTAGTTGAAACTACAGGCGTGCACCACCTTTTTAGGAGAGACGTGGTTTCACCTTGTTGCCCAGGCTGGTCTCTAACTCCTGGGCTCAAGTGATTCACCTGCCTCAGTCTCCCAAAATGCTGGGATTATGGAAATGCGCCTCTGCGCCCAGCCTGATGTTCTTTATATGTTATGAAAAATAATCTTTATAATATATTGTTGCAGATTGCTTTTTTTCCAGTTTGTCATTAGACTTTGTATATGAGGCTTATGATGTGTGTTTCCCATGCAAATATTCTTTTTATGTCTTCAAATTTAACATTCTTTTCTCGTGTTGTGTTTGGAGTTAGAAAATGCCACTCTTGGCTGGGTGTGGTGGCTCACGCCTGTAATCCCAGCACGTTGGGAGGCTGAGGCAGGCCAATCACCTGAGGTCAGGCATTCGAGACCAGCCTGGCCAACATGGTGAAACCCCATCTCTACTAAAAACAAACAAACAAACATTAGCTGGGTGTGGTGGCACACCAACTAATTACTCCTGAGTAATCCCACCAACTCAGGAGGCCGAGGCACGAGAATCGCTTGAACCCGGGAGGTGGAGGTTGCAGTGAGCAAGATCATGCCATTGCATTCCAGCCTAGACGACAGAGTGAGACTCTGTCTCGAATAAAAAAAAAGAAAATGCCGCTCTTCTCACACCAGGTTACAGAGGGATTATCAGGCTTCTCTCCTGGTCTAAGGATGTCCGGCTACACGCATTCATGTGACTAATACTTTTTCTTACTAAATTAACTAGATTAGGTGGCACTAAATATTTGAAGTAAAAAGAGTTTTAGTTTTTCTTATGCAGCTTATATTGGACTGATTGCTTTTACAGCCTCAATGTGTTTTAGTGAACTGTAACTTTTGTTTCTGCTTGAGGTTCTAGTACCACAACCTGACCCATGGGCACCCTTTCGTCTCCTCCTCTGACCTTTGGGCACTGCTCAAGAGTCTTTGGAAGCATCTTTTCCATTGAGAGGAGAGATGTTTGGGGCCTACCTGAATGTTCTCTGCTTAAGACACACAGATTCAGTTATTCTCCAAGGAACCTCCGTGCCTCATAGAAGCCAGTATTGAGTTCCCTATCTGGGTGCTTTTCTGTTTTTTTCAACAGTTACCAGTTTTTTGGGGTTTTTTTTTTTTGGTTTTTTTTGGAGATGGGGTTTTTGCCATGTTGGCCAGGCTGGTCTCGAACTCCCGGCCTTAAGTGATCCACACGCCTCGGCCTCCCAAAGTGCTGGAATTACAGTCATAAGCCGCCATGTCTGGCCTACAGTGACCAGTTTTAAAGTACTCTAGCAATGGGGCTGGAAAAGGATAGATTTTTAAATTACGGCTGGATGCGGTGGCTCACACCTGTAATCACAGCACTTTGGGAGTCCAAGGTGGCTAGATCACTTGAACCCAGGAGGTCGAGACCAGCCTGAACAACATAGTGAGACCCCGTGTCTACAAAAAAATGTTTGTTTGTTTGTTTGTTTGTTTTTGAGACGGAGTTTCACTCTTGTTGCCCAGGCTGGAGTGCAATGGCATGCTCTCGGCTCACCATAACCTCTGCCTCCCGGGTTCAAGCTATTCTCCTGCCTCAGCCTCCCGAGTAGCTGGGATTACAGGCATGCACCATCATGCCCAGCTAATTTTGTATTTTTAGTAGAGACGGGGTTTCTCCATGTTGGTCAGGCTGGTCTTGAACACCCAACTCAGGTGATCTGCCCACCTCGGCCTCCCAAAGTGCTGGGATTACAGGCATGAGCCACTGTGCCCGGCCAATAACTTGTTTTTTAATCTGTTATCACTGTGACATTAACCCAGAATAGCTGTACTAGTATCAACACTAAACTCCTGGGTAAGCAATGACATTTCATGTTTTGGTTGTCATGGGTAATCATTCTTTGAATACTTTTTTTTTTTTTTTTGAGATAGGGTCTTGCTCTGTCTCCCAGGCTGGAATGCAGTGGCACAATCATGGCTCACTGTAACTTCAACCTCCTGGATTCAAATGATCCTCCCACTTCAGCCTCCTGAGTAGCTGGGACCACAGGCATGAGCCACCAGACCTGGCTAGTTTTGTATTTTTTGTAGAGACAGGGTCTTACTATGTTGGTCTCAAACTGCCGGGCTCAAGCAATGCTCCCTGCTCAGCCTTGTGCTGGGATTACAAGTGTGAGCCGCTGCAGCTGGCCCTGGGAGAACATTTTACTGAAGTCTTCAGGCAGATTGTTTCATCAAGCAGCACTTGCATCTTTTTTCCACTTGATTCTGGTCACAGAAATGCTGTTCTACGTGTTCTCCCTTCCTTTTAATTTTGAAGGTGCCGGTGCAGGTAACTGAAAGCTCGGGCTTGGTGTGAGCTTAGTAAGCAGCCAGTGCAAGCCATGCTCTGTGGCAGGAAGGAGGAGGGAATGTGTGGGAAACCTGGTGGGACGTCCACAGCAGGCCCAAGGATGCATGTGGCTGCCCCGGCCCCTGAGTGATGGCAGGCAGGACCGTGGGTCCAAAGTTGATGTCTGAGTGGACCCAGCCTGGCGTGTGACCTTGGACTCAGGCTCTGAGGCTGCTCTCTCCGCTGCTTACTGCCTGGGAACCCTCGCCTTACTGTGAGCCTGGCCCAGTGACCACACACTCATAGACTGTCAAACACCTATCCCTGTCCACCACTCCCGGCCTGTGGGCCTCTTTTCCTTCTTCCTCTGCTCATTCCTCTCTGCCGACTCCCTATTCTGTGCTGAGGCTGGTGCTGTGGTTGATGGGGACACTCTTTCCTGAGCCCTTGCTGGGTGCTGGCCCAGCACCCAGTGCACCTGAGGAGGTGGGCGTGGCCATCTTCATTTCCCCGCAAAGAAACTGAAACCCAGAGAGGCCCAAGATTTGTCCGCTGCCAGGGAGCTACCAGGGTGGCAGAGGCAGAACTTCGCATCCTGTGTGTCTTACTCCCAAGCGGGAGCCTTATCTGTGGACTGCTGCTGCCTCCCTGATTCCACATTCCCAAAGAGCCCGGAGGCACTGCCGCCCTCTTCTACACTCCCAGCCTGAGGTGCCCAGCCATCTCCGTGCCGTGGCCCCTGGCGCTGTGGCTGGGGGCGGAGGGCCGTTGTGGACCGCCTCTGTTCTCTCTTTGCTCATTGTCTGGTTGACTGAGATGGGACTTTTGGTATTTTTTGGTGCCCACTTTTTTCACCTCCTATTTCCATACAACGTATTACCAAATTTGTAAAGAAACTTTTATTTTTTTTATTTCAGAACAATTTTTAAATTTACAGAAAAGCCATAAAGGTAGTACAGAGTATTCCACGTCCCCCCTACCCCGGGCTGCCTACCCTGGTTCCCTCCACTGTGAACAGCTTACGTTGCTACTGGGTGCACTGGGTCTCTAGGGCTACCACAACAAAGTACCACAAACTGGGTGGCGTCAAATGCAGGAAGGTACCCCCCAAGACCACGCTGGGAGGAAGGGAGAGGACGTGAGGTGGAAGTTCCCCAGCAGGCCCAACCTCCAAAGCCCCGCCAGGAGTGAATGGGCTTAGACCTGGGTTCGGGGGTGATTCAAAGGCAGGGACCGGGTCTACCTTCAGACCTCATGCTGTGGCCTGGGCCGGGGCGGGACCAGGCAGGGAAGCCGGTGCAGACCCACTCACTGTGGCAGGTCCCCTGTCTGAGCAGATGGCCAAGCTGATGCTGCAGCATGCGGAGACACGGCTCCGGGAGGACAGGTCCAGGAAGCAGCTGGTGGAGCAGGTGATAGAGGGGCAGAAGAACGTCAAGGCCGCCCAGACGAAGCTCACGAAGGGCCGACGGCAGACAGGTAGTCAGGAGCCAAGTGTCACTGGCCCGGCCCCGTTCTTCCCCACTCAGGTGCTGGGCTACCACCCTTTCCTGAGCCAGCTACTATAGCTGTCAAGGGTCACGGGGCCCCTTAAGGGAGGTACTCCCAAGTGGCCGCACTGAGGCCAGGGGCCTGGCTGGGGAACCCTGGGGGAGGTGCCTCCCTGTCCAGCACCTGCCCTGACACCCACCGGCCACCTCAGCTCCTGGCTTGGCCCCCAAGTTCAGGAGGTGATTGAGGAGAGTCGGGGGCTTCTGCGGCGCAGGGCACAGGCGGCCCAGGAGGAGCAGCGGCGCCGTTGTGAACTCATCTCCCAGCTGCGCGCACTCGAGACGCAGCCCACGCGCAAGGGCAAGCTCGTGGACCTGACCCAGGTGAGGACACAGTCCTGGATAGGCCCATGCCTCAGGGAGCCTCCGTGCTGGCACTGCCATGGGAGGCAGTTTCCAGGGTTCCCACCAGCGCCACAGGTGGGTCTTGCACCACCTGAAACCTGGCCTGCCACCCTCTGTGACTTAGCACCCATGTGGCGCGGGCCTGGGTCTGGTCCTAAGAGTTCACAATCCCGCAGGTGAGGCAGACACTGAGCCAGTCCTCTGTAACCCCTGGGGGTGGCCAAGGTGGGCTTCACGGAGGAGACCACTTAGGAGCTGCCTGTTGAGGGAGGGCCAGGGTGGAAAGGGCAGTGTAGGGAGAGGGCAGGTGTTCAAAGGCTGGGTGGAGGCTGGATGGAGCAGGAGGTTGAGGAGGGTCTGCTGGAAGCCCGTGTGAGAAGGCAATGATGAGGGGCCAGGCCTCAGAGGAGCACGGGGAGGGGCCAGGCCTCAGAGGAGCACGAGGAGCCAGCTGCAGGGCCTGGCCCAGCCCCAAGGCCATGGAGAGTGCAAACGGCTGTCTGCCCCAGGCCCCGAAGCCTGGCTGGGGAGATAGTCATGAGCTCCATTTGGGACTTGCCACAGTGGAGGGGCCTCAGTCCAGCTGAGACGTGCAGACCCACACAAGGTATAGCGTTGCAGAGCAGAGCCCAGGCTGGAGAGGCTGGGGGCATGTTTCATAAGCAGTGTTGAAGCAGAGGGAAGGTGGGCAAGGGGTGGGCCCATGGAGCAGGGGAGGGATCCTGGTGGGAAGCATCAGGGCCCAGCTTGGGGCCTCCCCTACCACCCCATAGACCCCTGGCTATGGCCTGGAAGGAGAGATGTCCATAGTGGAGCTGCGGGAGCGGCTGGCCCTGCTCAAAGAGAATCAGCGGCGCAAGGAAGAAGAAAAGCGGGATCAAATCATTCAGGGCAAGCGCACCAAGAGCCAGGAACTGCAGAACACGGTGGAGCAGATCTCGCTGTGCCGTGCAGCCATGGGGAGATCCGCAGCCTTGAGGTTGGTACTGGGCTTGGGGAGGGTGCCTCTGGGTGGACAGGGAGCAGTAAGCCTGCCTTGTACCCTCCTGAGTGGGTCTCCTTGAAACAACCCGCCACCCTCCTGCCCAGGAAGTTCCTTGCCATAACTCCCCTCACCCCTATTATTGTATTAGGTGACTTCCAGGCACATGGGAATGGTGCAAAATTCTGCTTCCATGGCTTAGATGCCATGACCTAGATGCGGTCATTTTTGCACCCAGCTCATGGGTCCAACCTTTCACCATATGTGCTTCACGCAGCCAGCTAGCTATTTATGTCTGCAGAAGCATTTGGAAGTAGCTGCAGGAATCGGGCACTTTACTCTTAAACACTTCAGCATACATCTAAAAAAAAGATCGTCCTACATAAAACCACAGCACCCTGACACCAATAGAAAATTGAAAAAAATTCCCAACATCATCTAAATATCTCATTTTTTTTTTTTTTTCACATTTCTCCAGGTGTCCAAAGACTGTTGGCCAACTGTGTTTTTTTGTTTTTTGTTTGAGATGGAGTCTTGCTCTGTCACCAGGCTGGAATGCAGTGGCACAATCTCAGCTCACTGCACCCTCTGCCTCCCAGGTTCAAGCCTCAGCCTCCCAAGTAGCTGGGACTACAGGAGTGTGCCACCATGCCTGGCTTTTTGTGTTTTAGTAGAGATGGGGTTTCACCATGTTGGCCAAGATGGTCTCAAACTCCTGACCTCGTGATCCGCCTGCCTTGGCCTCCCAAAGTGCTGGGATTACAGGCATGAGCCCAGCCTGGCTAACATTTTTTAAAGACTGCTGCTGTAATTTTTTTTTTTTTCTTTTTAAACCAGGATCTAGTTGAGGGTGGCAGATAGCTCGTGTGCATACACACACATACAGATGCCTTTTTACTTGTTGGGGGGACAGTCTGGTGATGTTTTTTAGCCCCTTGTGGCTATCCCCTGGCAACCAGGTCAGACATGGGCAGGCATGTCCCCTGGCCCTGGGGTCAGGCTGGTCTCTGGACCCTGGTCTAGTTCCCAGGGAGGCCCAGCTGTTGTAGCAGAGCCTTGTTTGGAGCCTGGCATACAGGGCTCCAGAGAAAGTTTCTGAGTGGGACTGGGTGGGGTGGATGACAGGGAAGACAGAAGGAAGGACTAATCATTGCTGATGGAAGAGAACCCTTCACTATTGGTCCTTGGAGGGGCTGCTGCTCTGGTTGCAATTCAGAGGACGCACAGGGCAACCGCTGCTGGTGCTGTTCAGGGCTGGCTGGCTGCCCACCAGATCCCCAAGGTGGCAAACACCTGGACAGCTCTCACTTCCAGCTGCTGGCCACGGCCTGGCAGAGCTCAGATGCAGCCTGGTTGGTGTCAGGGTGCCTCCAAAGGTCTACTTCCTGCTAAAAAAGTTAGAGCAGGGCTCAGGAATGCACTCAGGCCCCAGGCCATAAATTCACCAGGGGCGACCTGGACAGTGAGACAAGAGTGGTGGAGACAGGGGAACAGCACATGCAAATACCCCAAAGCTGTGAGGTCTCCGGACGCCAAAGCCAGCAGGGAACGATATATACCATCAGAAGGATCAAGGGCCATGTCTGCAGATACCTGTGGAGATGCACACCATAGCACCACAGCGTTAGCAGGGAGTACCTCCAGGCAAGAGACAAAAGAGTGTGAGGTCAAAGGGGGCTTTCACATTTGTACCCCAGTTATGCATATACTTAGTACACCTGTAATACCTTTTTTAAAAAATGTTAAGTTTTTAAAAAGCTGCCAGGCACCGTGGCTCACGCCTGTAATCCCAGCATTTTGGGAAGCTGAGGTGGGAGGATTGCTTGAGCCTGGGAGGTCAAGGCTGCAGTGAGCCACGATCGTGCCACTGCACTCCAGCCTGGGCGACAGTGAGACCCTGCCTCAAACAAACAAACAAACAACAACAACAAAAATTTTTAAAAAGAAAAAAAGAGCAAAAGGGTAGAAGTGCTGGAGACCCCCCCACCCCCAGCCCCTGCGCGGTGGTCCTGTCTGGGAGCGCACCGCGGCCCCTGGGCTTCGCTGTGTGTCCTAAATTATTCCGGTGAACCTCTCCGGCCGCGTAGCTCCTTGTCCCCGCGTCGCTTGGACACAGGTGGCATCATGGGTCTGGCCTGGGCCTCCCGGCGGCCTGTTTCTGAGGCCGCCGCGTCGCCTGCCAGGTGGGAGGAGAAGAAGGCCCTTGCGGCGGCCCCGGAGGCCCCCTCGCAGGACGAGCGCGTGCAGCAGCTGCGGCGCAGGATCTCGGAGAGGGCGGCCGAGCGCAGCAGGCAGGCGGCCTTGCTGCACGTGTCGGCGCCGCGGGCCGCGGGCCCCAAGCCCCGCGTGAGTCCGGGTTGGTGGGAGGAGCCCGGGCGACTGAAAGCCGGGGCCGGGTGGGGATGGCGGGCGCGGCGCGCAGGGACCGGCGTCGAGGAGGGGGGGATGGCGGGGAGATCCGCTCCGGGCCGCAGCCAGGAGCTACTCAGAGGCGGGCGCGGGAGGCGGTGGGGGGCGTCCCTGCCCGCGCCGACGCGTTCTCCGACCTGCAGGCGCAGCTAGAGGCGCAGCACTGGCTGGAGCTGGAGCGGAGCCGCGAGCGCAGGCTGCAGGCGCTGCAGCAGGGAGGCTCCGGACCGGGGCCCGCGCGCCGCCTGGAGGCCGCCTGAGCCGGGCAGAGCGCGCCCCAGCCGCTTGTGGGCCACCCCCACCCCCACCGCCCCAATAAAGCGTGCGGCCCGCGGTGCGCGCCTCCTCTTCCTTGGCCGGGACCCCCTTGGCCCCGCTGCACCTGCCCCCGCACCCCTCTCCCTCCCTAGCCCCCATCTGCCCAGAAAAGGATTGCCAGATAAAAAGGCAGGACGCCCAGTTACTGCGTGGGGGCAAACTTATGCTAAAAATGTATCCTCTCCTTATCGGGAATTCAACTTAACTGGGCATCCTGCAATTTTATAAGCGAAATCTGGCCACCCCGGCCCAGGTCCTAGCACTTCCCTAGCACAAGGCATTCCTGGTGCCCACCTCTTGGAACTCCCAGAACTCCTTCGGATGTGGAAATCTGGAACCCCCACCCTTTGCCGGCATCCAGGTGGCTTCACCTAGGGAACCCCCAAGACTGAGTGGCGACTGTCAGTGTGCGTTTGGCTAGGGAAGTGGCCAGGATTCTTGAGTGCCAACGTTGCACTGGCCCTTCACGCACCTCCACCATCCTCACTACCGTCCAGGGACCTAGGAACTGGCCTGCCCCTGTTCTGCTGATGAGGCCACAGGTGCTCAGAGAGGCAATGTGACCTGCCTAGAGGGCCAGAACCCAGAGCTGGGCCTGGGTGACTTTAGAGCACCCCCTCCTCCCCTTTCTCTAGCATCAGAAGCAGCCCAGATCCAACAAGATCAGGTCCACTGGAGACAGGACTTCACCCAGGGCAGGGACCAAGATGGATTGGTTCTGCAGTGTCCTGGGACCCGGTGGGCTAGAGAGGGTTCCACCCTGAGGACAGGCTTGCTGAGTGAATGCCTGCTGGTGAAAGTCAGCCTCAAGAAGAAAGTACATTAAGCCATCTTCTTCCCAGGAAAGAGAGAAGAGGGTCAAGTCCGTGGGGTGGTGAGCAGTAAGGGGTTGGGGAGTGGAAACTAACAGATTTAAGATAGATGTCCAGGGGAGATATGTTTCCACCCCCAACTCCCAATATTCTCCTTGGGCCTGCAGAGGAGATGGCACCTCAGATGAGGAGGCTGAGTCCCAGGGTACACTCAGCCCAGGAAGGCAGGCATCTTGGCAGTGACAAGAACAGACTAAAGGACCAGAGCCCTACTCCAATATTCTGAGTTTGTGAGAACCCCAGGATTTTACCACCCAGGTGGGTAAGGAGAAGAATGTCCACCTCTGTAGAATTGCAGCTGGGAGCAGATTAAATTTTATTTAAAGAAATAAACATTGGCTGGGCAAGGGGGCTCAAACCTGTAATCCCAGCACTTTGGGAGGCTGAGGCAGATGGATCACCTGAGGTCAGGAGTTTAAGACCAGCCTGGCCAACATGGCAAAACCCCATTGCTACTAAAAATACAAAAATTAGCTGGGCGTAGTGGCGGGTGCTTGTAATCCCAGCTACTCGGGAAACTGATGCAAGAGAATCGAATTGCTTGAACCTAGGAGACGGAGGTTGCAGTGAGCTGAGAATGCACCACTGCACTCCAGCCTGGTGACAAGAGCAAAATGCCATCTCAAAAAAAAAGAAAGAAACATTGCTCACATTCTGTGTTGTGTGATCCAAACACATTTAATTTGATATTGACGGAATACATCGATGATGCCTGGCCCAGAGAGCCCCTCTGAGCTCTGGGGGTTTCAAAGGGGGATTTATTAGCTCTCATAATGCCAATCCAAAGGTGGCAGACTTCACGATGTGCCAGATCCAGCCTGAGGGACAAAGAACAGTTGCCCCAGCCTCACTGGCCTGAATTGAACATGCTTGTGCTGAGCCAGTTCCTGCTGTGGGGGAAGGTCTGCAAGGGTGCCTGAAGCACTGTGGCAAGGCGGGGAATTACCCTTCACCTAGGAGGTTGGCCTCAGGAGCGGAGGGGGGATGTGGCAGCTAACAAACTGAGGGTACTATTGCCAACACTGTTGGTTGGCAGGTAACAAGTCCCCTCCTGGACTGAGCAGCCGCTTAGAGCTAGCTTGAGAGTACCTGGGGCCTCTCCTCATACAAACCTAGGTGGGAGCAGGCCTGGGACCACTCCCTAAAGTTGTGGCCTGGGAGTAGGCATCGTGTGATAGATGGCAAAAAGTCTGGGTATCTCGGCCCCTTGCCGTGTGACTTTACACCTCCCACCAAGAGGCGGAGTCTGTTTCCCCCAGCCCTTGCATCTGGTCCGGCCTAGTGACTTTCTTTGGCTAATAGGGTGCAGCAGAAGTAACCATGTGTCAGTTCTGAGTCTGGGCCTCAGGTGGCCTTTGAGTTCCCAGGGAACCTTGCCCAGGCCTCATGTGAGCATGACTAGGGTGGCCTGCTGGGATCAGACACCATGTGGAGGAGAGCCCGTTATCTCAGAGGCCATCCTAGAGCAGCAGAGCACAAAATGAGAGCAGACGGACAAGAACCTCCCCCAGCCCCACTGTCTTGTAGATTCATGAGCAACAATAAATGTCTATCGTTCAAAGTATCAAGCTTTGGGGTGGTCTGTTCCAGAGAAATAGCTAAGGGGCACACCCTTAAGGGCCCAGGGCCTTCACAGTGGGGGCCCCTGCCTCCCCTCCCTGCATAGGCTCTTTACAGAAAATCAAGCTACTCCCCCAAAGGGGGCCAGCCAGAGTGAGATATGACCCAGCTAGTGCTGACAATCCCTCTCTGAACCTCTCCTGGCTGCACTGCCTGGGGAGTGGACACTTTGCTGAGTACAGGCTAGTCAGAAGGTCCTATGCATAGCATCTGAGACCCACTTGGGCAGGGGCTTTCTTTGGAAATAGTGAAGAAAGCAGATTCAGTATCTGGTGTGAGGCCCCGGAACCTGCATTCAGCTGGTTTCCACATGTGGGACTACGGGAGCACCAAGGTGCCAGTCTTTTCGCCAAGCTGCAGGTGTTCAGGGCCCAAGGGAAGCGCTATTTGTGAAGGAACAAGTTCAGTGCAAGTGAGGCTTGGAGAAGACTTAAAGGCAGCTTTTGTTTGTTTTTGTTTTTGAGGCAGGGTCTCGCTTTGTCACCCAGGCTGGAGTGCAGTGACGTGATGATAGCTCATACAGTTTTAAACTCCCGGGCTCAAGTGATCCTCCTGCCTCATCCTCCCTACTAGCTGGGACTACATGCACTTACCACCAAACCCAGCTAATTTTTTATTTTTAGTAGAGATGCAGTCTCACTATGTCGCCCAGGCTGAAGGCAGCCTTTGAGCATGAAACTGGTATTTGTAGAGACTTTCAACATCACATGTTCAATGTATTACAGTTACAAACAGAAAACCCTAACTTTTCCTTAGGCTGTAAAATACAAATTACTAATATTACTCTTTCTTTTTTTTTTTTTTTTTTTGAGACGGAGTCTTGCTCTGTTGCCCAGGCTGGAGTGCAGTGGCCGGATCTCAGCTCACTGCAAGCTCCGCCTCCCGGGCTTACGCCATTCTCCTGCCTCAGCCTCCCGAGTAGCTGGGACTACAGGCCCCCGCCACCTCACCCGGCTAGTTTTTTTTGTATTTTTTAGTAGAGACAGGGTTTCACCGTGTTAGCCAGGATGGTCTCGATCTCCTGACCTCGTGATCCGCCCATCTCGGCCTCCCAAAGTGCTGGGATTACAGGCTTGAGCCACCGTGCCCGGCCATATTACTCTTTCTAAATCTGATTTTTTTTTTTTTTTTTTGAGAGAGAGAGAGAGAGAGGGTCTAATTCTGTCACTCAGGCTGACATGCAATCACAGCTCACTGCAGCCATGACCTCCTGGGCTCAAGCAATCCTCCTGCCTCAGCCTCCTGAGTAGCTGGGACCACAGGGACATACCACCACACCCGGATAATTTTTTTTTTTTTTTTTTTTTGGTGGAGACGGGGTTTTACCATGTTACCCAGGCTCATCTATAAACTCCTCAGCTCAAGCAATCCTCCCACCTCACCCTCCGAAAGTGTTAAGATTACAGGCGAGGCCGGGTGTGGTGGCTCACGCCTGTAATCCCAGCACTTTGGGAGGCTGAGGCAAGAGAATGGCATGAACCTGGGAGGCGGAGCTTGCAGTGAGCCGACATCATGCCACTGCACTCCAGCCTGGGTGACAGACTCCATCTCAAAAAAAAAAAAAAAAAGATTACAGGTGAGAGCCACCATGCCCAGCCTAAATCTGATCATTTTTAACCACCATTTTGATTAATCATGTACGGCTCCATTTATGAACTGAAATTCTCTTAAACATTTTCAACTGCATTTATACATGTAGAATCTAATTTTATTCTTTAGCATTTCAGTTGTCTGCCTTATCAAGTATTAATATTTAAATAATTCTCATAGGTATATTAAATGTCTACATTTCTCTTAAACTTTTAAGTTCTCTTTGTTCCAATTATAATCACAAACTTTGGAATACCTTTCAACTTACAATCACTATCAAAAATCGAATACCTAGGGCAGGGTGTGATGGTTCATGCCTGTAATCCCAACACTTCGGGAGGTCGAGGCAAGCAGATAGCCTGAGCCTGGGACTTCAAGACAAGACTGGGCAACATGGCAAAAGCCAGTGTCCACAAAAAAAAAAAAAAATTAGCCAGGCATGGTGGCACACACCTGTGGTCCCAGCTGTTTGGGAGGCCAAGGTGGGTTGATCATCTAAACCTGGGGAGGCCAAGGCTGCAGTGAGGCATGATCGTGCCACCACACTCCAGCCTGGGTGACAGAGTGACACCTCGTCTCAAAACACACACACACACAAATACTTAGATATTTTACATGAGAATTAGATTTATCTATCAGATACTCTACCATGCCAGATTTCCTTACAATTACAGAAAATAGCAAACACATATTGTTTGTAAACACAACGCAAAAACGTTAATGCTCTGGTTTCTATCTGCCTTGTCATTCCATTATTTGACTCCATTTTCGAGGTTAGAAACTTACTGTACGGTGGCCGGGCGAAGTGGCTCACACCTGTAATCCCAGTACTTTGGGAGGCCAAGGAGGGTGGATCTCCTGAGGTCAGGAGTTCGAGACTGGCCTGGCCAACATGATGGAACCCCGTCTCTACTAAAAATACAAAGAAAATTAACCGGGTGTGGTGGCAGGCGCCTCTAATCCCAGCTACTCGGGAGGCTGAGGCAGGAGAATCACGAGAATCCAGGTTGGAGGTTGGAGATTGCAGTGAGCCGAGATCGCGCCACTGCACTCCAGCCAGCGCGACAAGAGCGAAACTCCATCTCAAAACAAACAGAAACTCAGTGTAAGAAAACAATGCAACCCAAGGCATTTGGGGTGACCTTCACATTGCCTGGGGGTGCCGAGGGACCAGAGATGCTGGCCATGGACTAAGGTCTGGGTATTCTCAGGCAGCAGGGACAAGGTGGGCTTTTTTCCTGGTTGCTAAACCCACGTCAAAGTCCAGCTCAGGGACTGGAGCTCAAGAAACCCACCACCCATTCTCCAGTCCGACCGAGGACCTGCATGCACCTGTGCCGTGCTGCCCTGAGTCCTCCAATCCTCCACACTCTTCATCTGTTAGGTACACGTCTGCACCCCAGCCTGCAAAAGTTCCAGGTTCCTCTCAGGGGCAGGGACCCGCACGCCGGCCCAGGGCTTGGCACGCGGGGGCGCTGAAACAGGGCCAGGCCTGGTTTCCAGCCGATCGTCATAGTCCCCAGGCCCAGCAACCTTCCTCACAAAGGCATCGTTAAGAGGCGGGGAAACAAGAGCCAGGAGAGGGGCGCGGAACGGCGGGCGGGACGAACTACCAGCTCCGCGTCCCGGCCAGCTGCGTCGAGCCAGGGGCACAGCAGCTGGTGTGCGGTTCGAAAACTAGGAATGGGAAGGTTCGGGGCCCGCTCGGCTCCGGAGGCAGTCGGCGGGCAGTCCCTGGCGGCGTTGGGACAGTCAGTCGCAGCCGGGTACAGGAGCCCGGTCGGCCCTCAGACCGCGACTCCCGGAAGGCCTTGCGGGCGGGGCCGCGCCCGCGCCGTCTCTTGCCGGAAGGTGCGAATTAGGGCGCTCGATTGTGGGCGGGGGCGGAAAGAGGCGCGCTTTAAAGTGGTAACAGATGGTTTTCTTATCCAATAGGATTTAAAAATTTGTCCTTACCCGGCCAACCGCGGAAGTAGGGTAGGCGGGCGGCCAATGGGCACACGACGGGGGGCGGAGCCGAGGCCTCCGAAGCGGAAGTGGGTTGCTGTTGAGGCGGCGGCATCTTTCTCGAGGGGCTCTCCTGGGCGGCTGGAGAAGCAGCTTCTTCTCTCGAGTGCGACGGCGGCGGCGCCTGCGGACCTAACTAGCTCCAGGTTAGGCTGGGCTTTGCGGGGAAGCAGCGGCAAATCAGGGCCTGTGCAGATGCGAGGTTTAGGCGGCTTCGCGGCCTACGGAGGCCTCGGCCCGCGCGGCTCCACCCGGCCGAGACTCCGCAGCCCGGGACCTCGAGCCAGCTCTGGCCGCTCGCACCGCCTTCCGCGCGGGCGCACCTAACCCGGCTTGGCGCGGGCGACAGAAGTTAAGAGGCCTGCGTCTGGGTCTCGGCTCACCCTGGCGGGCCGCGGCCATGGGGCTTAGTCCATAGCTTAGGAAGGGAAACTGAGGCTCTGGGAAGGGCAGGAACGCCCCCAAGGTCACTCGGAGAGTCGGGCAGGGTGTGCTGTTAGGGGGGAGACCTGGGCAGGGTTTTTGTTCCCCGCTGACGACGTCTCCTTTGTGTGTTCGTGCCGCCGCCCCGCCATCGTGGGGCCTGCGAGTTTGCCCGGGTGCCCGGGTGCCCGGGCCGCGTGGCGGGGCCTTTTGTAGGTCGGGAGGATCTGAGTACGGGTGCGGGACTGACAGTGTGGGGCGCCGAGGTCGCAGTCTAAAACTTGGTAGGGCCTCGACTTCCGGACGCGCTTCCGGGCCCCGGCTGATGGTTGGTGGAACGTGTGACTGTGAGGCTTGCGGCCCAGCCCTGCACCGCTCGGGCCCTTCACCCTCTGGCGCGCCTGTAGGCTGGCGTATGAAGATTCTCAAGACCCGAAAAAGAGTTGCTAGTAAACACCGCTTTTCCGCCTTTGATCCATCGAGGAAACAGGGAAAAGGATAGAGCTTGGGCAAGCAGTTTTGGTAGGGATTTCAGCTTTTGTCTTTCACTTGTCGGTTCCCATAGACGTTCACAGTCTTAATAACCTTCGTTCTGTTTCTGCACGAAGTTCTTGAGCCAGACGTTGGGTCTCAGCTCTGGAATCTGACTTACAGTGTCCAAGTGGTTGGGGAGACTGAGGTCCAGAAAAGTGAGGTAGTCTGCCCAAGGTCACAAAGCCGGCTCTTTGGCAGCAGATGAGATTAAGTCTTAACTGCAGGATTAGGCTTTTGAATTCGGTGACCAGGAGTTTTGGGACCGCTGACAGTAAAAGAGACATTGAAGGGAATGTTTTGTTGTTTTCTTGGTGTTTTACTTGTTAATGGACAAGGATACATTGGGTTCAGTTTTACTGTGAGTTTGAGATGAAATAGGGACATTTGAGTAGCAAGCTGTGTTGCTGGCTTTTGTATTGCCTGAATTTGAGCTTCCAAAAATCTTACTTTAATACATCGTTTATTGATCTTAAATTACTACCTTTGTAAGGAGCTTTTGTAAACATTGTTTTTCTAATCTTCATGAAATCTTAATGCCATACGTAAACTATTTTTATAGAATGTATACACATCTGTGCTTTGTACATAAAATGAGTAAGATATTTCACTCTCCTCAAGATCGAAGTAGCATATTTTTGAGGTGTCCTGTATGCCAAACTTACAGCAGTCAACAGTCGTGGTGCTGGCCCTCCTGTAGCTGGGTGAGGATGGAGGGAATAAGAGATACCTCATTTTATTGTGCTTTGCACATATTGCCTTTTTTGCAAGGTGAAGGTTTATAGCAAGTATTCGTCGAGCAAGTCTGTAAGTGCCAGCCATTTTTCCAACAGCATGCGCTCACTTCGTGTCTCTTGTGTCAAGTTTTGGTAATTCACAATATTTCAAACTTTTTTTTTTTTTTGAGATGGAATCTCAGTCACCCAGGATGGAGTGCAATGGCATGTTCTCGGCCTCACTGTAACCTCTGCTGCCTGGGCTCAAGTGATTCTCCTGCCCCAGCCTCCGGAGTAGCTGGGATTACAGGCACATACTACCACACCCAGCTAATTTTTGTATTTTTAGTGGAGACGGGCTTTCACCATGTTGGCCAGGCTGATCTCGAACTCCTGACCTCAAGTGATCTGCCTGCCTTGGCCTTCCAAAGTGTTGGGATTACAGGCATGAACCACCATGCCCAGCCCCAAACTTTTTCATTATTGCATCTGTTACGGTGAGCTGTGGTCAGTGTTTTGGGTTACCATGAATAGCACTAATATAAGATGGTGAACTTAACTGGTAAAAGTTGGGTGTCTAGTAACAGTTCCACTGACTGGCAGTTCCCAGTCTCTCTTCTCAGGCCTCTCTATTCCTTGAGACACAATATTGAAATTAGGCCAGTCAGTGACCCTACAGTGTCCAGACAAAAGGAGCAGTCAGTTGAATCTCTCTTACTTTAAATCAAGTTAAGAAATGATTAACCTTAGTGAGAAAGGCATATCAAAAGTTGAGATAGGCCAAAAGCTAGGCCTCTTGTGCTGAACGACAGTTGGCCAAGTTGTGAATGCAAAGGAAGAGTTCTTGAAATTAAAATGCTACCCCAGTGAACGCATGAATGATTAGCCAAACAGCCTTATTGCTGATAGGGAGAAAGTTTTAGTGGTCTGGATAGATCAAACCATCCGTGACATTCCCTTAAGCGAAAGCCTAATCCAGATTTAAGGCCCTAACTCTCTTCAGTTCTGTGAAGAGTGAGAAAGGTGAGGAAGCTGCAGAAGAAAAGTTTGAAACTGGCAGAGGTTGGTTCATGAGGTTTAAGGAAGGAAGCCGCCTCTGTAATGTGAAAGTGTGAGGTTGAGGCAGTAAGCATTGATGTAGAAGCTGCAGCAAGTTATGCAGAATATATAGCTAAAATAATTGATGAAGGTGGCCACACTGAACAACAGACTTTCAATGTAAATGAAACAGCCTTATATGGAAAAAAAAATACTATCTAGGACTTTCATAGCCAGAGAAAGATCAATGCGTGGCTTCAAAGGACAGGCTGATTCTCTTGTTAGGGGCTAATGTGACCCGTGACTAAATTGTAACCAGTGCTCATTTACCATTCTGAAAATCCTAGGGCCCTTAAGAATTATGCAGAAATCTACTGTGTGCTGATCGGTGAAACAAGAAAGCCTGTGTAGTAGCATATCTGTTTACAGTATGTTTTACTGAATATTTTAAGCCCACTATTGAGATCTACAGCTCAGAAAAAAAAAGATTTCTTTCAAAATATTACTGCTCACTGAGAATGTGCTTAGTCACCAAAGAGGTCTAATGGAGATGAATGAGATTAATGTTAACATCTGTTCTGCAGCCCATGGATCAAGGAGTAATTTCAACTCTCAAATCTTACTTAAGAAATGCATTTTGGGGCTGAGCACGTTGGCTCATGCCTGTACTCGCAGCGCTTTGGGAGGCCAAAGCAGGTGGATCCCTTGAGCTCAGGAGTTAGAGACCAGCCTGGGCAGCATAGTGAGACCACCCCCTCCACTGCCAATCTCTTAAAAAAAAAAAAAAAAAAAGGGCGGGACCAGGGGAAAGAAATGCGTTTTGTAAGGCTATAGCTACATAGATTGTGATTCCTCTGATGGGTCTCAACAATGTAAATTAAAAACCTCCTGAAAGGATACACTATTCTAGATACCATTAAGAATATTTGTCAGGCTGGGCGTGGTGGCTCAAGCCTGTAATCCCAGCACTTTGGGAGGCCGAGACGGGCGGATCACGAGGTCAGGAGATCGAGACCATCCTGGCTAACATGGTGAAACCCCGTCTCCACTAAAAAATACAAAAAACTAGCCGGGCGAGGTGGCGGGCGCCTGTAGTCCTGGCTACTCGGGAGGCTGAGGCAGGAGAATGGCGTAAACCCGGGAGGCGGAACTTGCAGTGAGCTGAGATCCAGCCACTGCACTCCAGCCTGGGCAACAGAGCGAGACTCCGTCTCAAAAAAAAAAAAAACCAGAATATTTGTCGCCAGGCGCGGTGGATCACAGGGTCAGGAGATCAAGACCATCCTGGCTAACATGGTGAAACCCCATCTCTACTAAAAATACAAAAAATTAGCCGGACGTGGCAGTGGGAACCTGTAGTCTCAGCTATGCGGGAGACTGAGGCAGGAGAATGGCGTGAACCCAGAAAGAGGAGCTTGCAGTGAGCCGAGATCGCACCATTGCACTCTAGCCTGGGCAACAGAGCAAGACTTCATCTCAAAAAAGAAAAAAAAAATATATATATATATATATATATTTGTGATTCATGGGAGGTCAAAATATCGACATCAGTAGGTCATGGTGGCTCACGCCTGTAATCCCAGCACTTTGGGAGGCTGGGGTGGGCAGATCACCTGAGATCAGGAGCTCGAGACCAGCCTGCCCAACATGGTGAAACCCCATCTCTACCAAGAAAATACAAAAATTAGCCAGGTATGGTGGCACGCTCCTGTAGTCCCAGCTACTTGGGAGCCTGAGGTAGGAGAATCGCTTGGGCCCAGGAGGTAGAGGCTGCAGTGAGCTGAGATTGCGCCTCTGCACTACAGCCTGGGCGAGAGTGGGATTCTGTCTTTAAAAAAAAAGAAAAAGGACCAGGCGCGTTGTCTCACGCCTGTAATCCCAGCACTTTGGGAGGCCGAGGCGGGTGGATCACAAGGTCAGGAGATCGAGACCATCCTGGCTAACACGGTGAAACTCCATCTCTACTAAAAATACAAAAAATTAGCTGGGCGTCATGGCGGGAGCCTGTAGTCCCAGCTACTCCAGAGGCTGAGGCAGGAGAATGGAGAATGGTGTGAATCCAGGAGGCGGAGCTTGCAGTGAGCCGAGATCCCGCCACTGTACTCCAGTCTTGGGAACAGAGAGACTGTGTCTCAA